AGGATACATTGATTTATATATGTATAAGATATAGATTACTGATTGTTAAAACTATATCTACAAAAATACTACTCTGTTCAAAAAATAAATACATTACTTTTTTTTCCTTCATCCATTAAGCCTTTCCGGTATGTTGTTTGGGGGGGGGGGGGGGGTTGGTAAAAAAATAACTAAACATTTAGACACAAAATTGAGCCCTGCATCACAACTATGATCAATTTTCAATCTTTGGAAGAAAGCCGGCACAGCGGTAATATAAGCAAACGGTCTTCCTTTATTAAAGGTAGTGGAATACAGCCATAAGAAATGCCGACAGGTTTCGGCTGCTCAGGCCTTACTCAGGACCATGAGCCCTGGGAGCTCATTTGAAATGCAGAGGACAGATAGGTGACACAGAAAAAAAAATTGGCACTGCAGTAAACTAATTGCTTGCTATGACCCAATGTCGCTTGGGCTTGGCCAATGCACTTCAAACTGCCTTTTAAACAGGATACATGGAGGTTATTTACTAAAACTGCATGGCGCAAAATCTGGTGCAACTCTACATAGTAATCAGTCAGCTTCCAGTTTTTATTGTCAAAGCTTAATTGAACAAGCTGGAGCTAGAAGCTGATTGGCTGTCATGCACAGCTGCACCAGTTTCTGAGTGCTGCAGTTTTTTGTAAATCCCCCCCATGTTGTCCAAGACGTTTTTCACCAACTTTTTTGATACATGCATCTTCCTTTTGATAGCAAATTTGTTTTCTCACAGTTGCTTTCAAAACACTTGGGTGCTCAAAATAGTAAACCTTTTACTACATGTGCTAATCATTGATTAGTGTGATTTCTACATGTGCCAATCATTGATTAGCGTGATTTCTACATGTGCTAATCATTGATTAGCGTGATTTCTACATGTGCTAATCATTTGGTTAAAAATATTTTATCTCCTTCTCCAAATTATTTGTCTTCATGTTTTAATGTGTCACTCAACTGAATGGAATTTAAAGGTGGGATTTTTAAATACATAAAATGAAACCTACTAAGGTAGATACAATAGAACATTTCCAGGCGGTGCCGTGATGGAAATTAATTGTAGTGCAACTTTGGCCAACCCAATAAAGTGTTTTCTTTGTCTTTCTCCAAAACAGGCAGCAACAATATTTTGACAGGGGATATAACTCTTACACCTGGTATCCAAGGCAAAAAAAAGGTTTTGGCTATAGCGATGCTTCATAATTAATTTCCTTTTGGCAGATTCAAGTTCTAAAGCCATTTGGTTTGGTTCAGTGCAATTAATTTACATTATATGGCCAAAACTATTTTAGGCCAAAAGAGTGTATTGAGTTTCCAGTGAAGGGTTCTGTTGATGCTAAAGCATACAAAGGCATACATTGGGCACTTCCAACTTGTGACAATCTGGGGAAGGTCCATTTCTGTTCCAGCATGACCCTGTGCACAAAACCAGCTCAATAAAGACAAGAATTTATGAGTTTGCTGTGGGGGAACTTGAGTGGTCTGCACAGAGCCCTGACCTCAACCCTACTGAACACTGTTGGGATTAGTTGGAAAGCAAATTGTGAGCCAGGTCTTCTTTCCAACATCAGAACCTGACCTCGCTAATGCACCTTTTTGACTGAATTCCCCCTGACACATTCGAAAATCTTGTGGAAAGCCTTGTTGGATATATATATATCCAACAAGCTCATATAGGTGCGATAGTCAGGGCCCACAAACTTTGACCTCAACCCTGCAGAACACCTATGGGATTACTTGGAAAGAAGATTTGGCTCACAATTGGCTTTCCAAGTAATCCCAAAGGAGTTCTGCATGGTTGAGGTCAAAGTTTGTGGGCCCTGACTATCGCACCTATATGAGCTTGTTGGATATGGATACAAGATTTTGGAATGTCAGGGGGAATTCAGCCAAAAAAGTGCATTAGCAAGGTCAGGTTCTGATGTTGGAAAGAAGACCTGGCTCACAATTGGCTTTCCAACATCAGAACATGACCTCACTAATGCACTTTTTTGCTCAATAGACTTAAATTCCCCCAGACTCACTGCAAAATCTTGTGGAAAGCCTTCCCAGAAGAGTGGAAGATGTTATGACTGCAAAAAGGGAAGGTGGGAAGTAATTCCAAATTTATGCTATTGGTTTTACAATTGGACGTTCAAAAAGCTTATATAGGTGTGATAATCAAGGCCCACAAACTTTGGGTCATATAATGCAAGGACTATGCAAAGAGGTCCTTTCCCCAAAAAGTTATTGGATGGCTGATGCACTATATAAATTAGATGTCTTAAAAGACGGTAGAAAAGATTCTCAAGGGCCTGTTATGCCAACTTTAGTTAGCATAATATAGGTCCTCTTTTAGGGTCCATTGTTCACCTATCTATGGCTATGGGTATTCCTCATAACAGATGAATCAAACATAGGATATCTACGGGAAGCCCTTAAAATTGCCTTGCAAAAAAAAAAATTTTTAAAAAGAATATGTTTTCCAGAGGATCATAAGATTTGCAAATTTTGGAATCACTAATTTACTACATTATCCAAGACAAGGTTTGGAAAGACCATCACAAATAATAAAGTGACACTTTATATTCCTCAAGTATGGAACATTGTGCTGCCTTTATACATTGCTCCATCAGCTGTTTCCAACACATTCCTTTCTTCAAAATGTTCAGCCTAAGTAGACTAAATTCTGTTACTGATATGCAAATTTAGAATTTTCATTAAAAGTCAACAGCTAATCTCTTATCTCCATCTCAGACTGCTCCGTATGCCATATGCCAGGAGCAGAGGAAAGGTAGAGGTGTCTGACTTGCAGGTTATGATTGACAGTCTGGCTTTTCCATGCTGTGCATGAGCCAAGATGACATCACCCAACGGGTCTTTGGGGACAGACAAGAGTTTCTCCTCACTGATTATGCACCAGTGAGTTGGTTATAAGGTGAACGGTTTACCTTTAGAAAAAACGAAGGGTTACTTTAAAGTGTACTTATAAAATCACAACAGGGGCCCTCAACATACAAAGAATACAACCTATCAGTCCACAAGAGATTTGTAACCCCAGAGGCACTAGAGACTTAGGCTTCATCAAGGTCACTTGCTTCTAGTGAAATGAGCTTCATAATGGTCTTCCCTACATCATGGCTACCATTATGATTTGTAGGGAAGAAGTCTACTTTAAAAACAATACTTTACAAAGCATCTCATTATCACATTGTAAAAATTTCTTTAAGTGCTTTTTGCTTTTACATTTCCTACAACGTAAAATACGGGTTATCAGTTACAGCATCAGAAAATACAGGTACTTTTAATACTTTGTTGGGAACATTGTAGAACCCTTGGCAGAATTATCTGAAAATGTGATGTGAACTTCTAGGAGGGATGTAAAGGAGAACATGTGGCAAAACATAGAATGTTTTTGGATCTCTGGCAGGCAATTGAAGCCTTTCACATCTGCGTCTATGGCTTCAAGACAGCATAATGGCCATATCACATAATGCAGTTTGACCTAGACTTTCTTATAAGGCAGTCGACTGCCCCTTTAACTACTGACATATCTAAAGGTACCTATAAGAACTGGATGGGGGGTGACCACGGATAAATGTAATCTTGCCAGGAAGTGAAGTATATCTCTCTAATGAGGAAACAGGTAGCAAAAATGCCTGAAGGAGGAGCCCTCCGCCACTTGATGAAAATCTCACAAAATGTTTTGGATGGCGTTTCACTATAAGTTATGCCTTGACCTGGTTAATGAATTAAAGTCAAGGCATAACAAAAGTAAAACTCCAACCAAGTAATTAGTCCACCTCTTAAATTTCAATCGATCAATGACCTGAAGGGCTGATGCTGAAAATACATCTTGAAATCCAGCCATGCATATAAGATAACATGGCTATTCTGAAGGTAGACACCAAATGCTTCCAAAAATATAATACTCTCTACTTAGCTGGTTGGTTTAAATTCAGCCTGGACACAGTATTTTACTGCTGGCATGTAAGCACAAGTGTTCCGCCTTTCCCCCTACTCACCCTTCAATAGCCACTATGCGTTTCAACTCTGAACATTCTCCTATTTGCATGGCTTGCATTTTAGGATCTACTTAGTGCAATTACCCTTCATTGATGTGTTTGAATTTTAGAGATGGACTAACAACTTGTGTAATACCCCCTTCATATTCAGATCCCTGTTTAATCCCTTTTTGATCTGTAACCATTTGAATCGATTAGAGGAGGCCATATTATATTGTGGTGACTTGCTGATTACAATTGCTTTTTCTTTAAATAGCCAACCCAGACCTTCATCCCCGTCCCTAGATGAAATGCATGTACTTTTAGCTGCTAGGAAGTGATATGTAATTCTACCAAAGAGAGATTTGTAGCCTCAAATAACAGGTTGTGCTGCAGCTCATAATAAAGAATAAAAAAGCAGGGTCAAGGTCACAGGGTATGACTTGTAAGGTTTTTGATGATACGGATATTCAGTAGAGTGTCCTACGTGGGAGTGGGAGAATATCTAGCTGGATCAAAAGCTCTCATTTGCTTGTGACCCTTTATATGTGGCAGCACGAAGAGGTACTCATCTCCCACAGTGACATAGAAAACACCAGTGGGACCTCACAACTGTTGCACTGCTCATTGCATGCAACCCGGCCATTCAGCTGAAGGCTCTCGTAGAGAGTAACGTGATGCAATAGCAGACTTGGCCAGCAGATATCGCAGTAAGCGAGCGAGGGAATAATAGTAGCCATTCTTGAAAAAAATCTGGACCTGTAAGAGGTGGTACCCCCTTTGTGTCACACCATTAAAAAAGGCCTCAAGTACAGAAGGAACAACCAAGTAATCTGGAGACCAAGTTTCAGACACTTTCTAAAGTGCAAGATCTCTTTACCCGCACCCTTCCCCCCTTGCCACCCCTCAAAAAGCTGCACATATACAAAACACAGGATGAACGGATTGGCACTAAGCATAATAAGAAATCATTACTGACGGCGAGATGCCATCACGGCTAGCTTAGATCACGGTCTCAAACAGGGTGGCCTTCTCCTTGTTGAGTGTGACAAGAGAGTCGGGAGGGAGCAGCTTGGTCTCCGCTTCTGGGGTGAGGTACTCAAGATGGTGGTGACCCCAAACCGGGGGTGGTCAGGTGGTGCCAGCGCTGCCAAGAAAAAAAAGACAAATCAGGCAATGGAACTTTTAGCTGTCGAGAACCTGGTATTTTCTGTTGGACAATTAAACATATCTAAAAAAAAAGCAAACGTTCCAAAAATGTGTTGGCACATATTTGGCCCAGCAGGCCAAGATGGAACTCAAAGCCCAACATTTACAACACTTAAAACTTTTTTCAACTTTTATTCTTGTCTTGGGACTTTGAGGGCAACTGGTTATTCAAATAGAAGACTTTAAAAAAGAGCCAACTCATTTCACCTTCTTCATCATGGCTTGAAAACGGTAAACCATGTATAAGACGACTACATAAGGAATGCAAAACCAGCTGCTGATGACCACCGTGGTTCAACATTTAATTGATCAAAATACCACATATATTGTATCTAGTCCGGTCTGATACGTTGTTTTCCATTTTCAAACATGATGAATGGAGAAACGTGTTGGTTCTTTTACGTATAAATTCTTCAATGTGATCTTAAAGTGAAATAAATTTGTACTTGGACTATTACGTCTTGGTGTGGGGCTACGAGAACTATAGGCAAAACTTTTTTTTTCATTTTGGATAGAGTAAGGGAGGGTTATAACCAGAGGCGGACTGACCATTTGGAAACTCGGGCACTGCCCGAGGGCCCGGGGTCAGTAGGGGGCCCCATGAGATGCCCCTGGTACCTTTTTCATAGGCTTTTTTGAGTTTGGGCAATGACACAGGGGCCCCATGATCCCCTGTTGCCCGGAGGCCCCATGAGTTGTCAGTCCACCCCTGGTTATAACTTTTGATCTGTTGGTTTATCTAGACAAATTTCCCTTCACTTCCTGTCCCAAAGTCAACCAGGAAGTGAGGGGAAATCCCTGCAAATTAAGGGAATTGCTTGGGGACCACTAGACCATCAGAGCTAATGTCCCTATTGGAAGAATTCCCCTCTATTACTTTTCTGGGTAAAACCCAAACTTTGTGATATTCTTTTACTTTCACTTTCAATGATAATGGTAATCAGGGCAAATAGAGCGGGAATCTCCCTAACTGGGGCACAGGCGACAATAAAAACCAAAAAAAAAAAAATAGGTGTTCTAATCCCTCGCCGCTCCGGCCAAAGCTAAAGATAAAGTTTTGCCTTTAGTTATACTTTCATTATATCTATTATATATTATACTTTTATCTGCTGTCTGGGGAGACATCAATGACTTTTTATCCTGGGGACAATGTTGTCCCCAAGAACAGAAAGTGAGAAGAAAATCCAACCGGGACACAGACAGCTATAGAATCCCATCAGCTTTCTATTGCTGTCTGTGTATTCATTGTGGAGTTCCCCTCTCTTCCTGAGTTGGTGATAACGCTGTCGCTAAAATAGAAGGTGAGTGGAAATAAAAAGGTTCTGGGTGGAATTACCCTTTAAATTCTTCTTTTGCCATTGATGAGGGCTTTTTTTTTTCAGTGGGAACGCGAGGGAATGCAGTTACGGCACCTCCAGCACTGAATGTATGTAATGGCAGGGGGTGCTGGGGTGTCCTAGAGATTGTATTGCTGCTGGTTACTGGGGGATCTATTGTTGCTAGCGGTGGTCTATTGTTGCTGGGTTGTATCTATTGTTGCAGGTGGGTATTTTGTTGTGAGGGGTTTGTTGTATCTGGTGGGGGGATATTGGTTCTTGAGGGATCTATTGTTGTTGGGGAGTCTTATGTTGCTCGGGGGGATCAATTATTGCTGAAAGGCATCTACTTTTGAGGGAGGAGTCTATTGTTGCAGGCGGCTTGTAGATCTATTGTTGCTAGAGGTGGTCTATTATTGCTGGGGTGGATCTATTGTTGCAGGTGGGTATTTTGTTGTGAAGGGTCTGTTGTAGCTGGTGGGGGGATATTGGTTCTTGGGGGATTTATTGTTGCTGGAGGATCTATTGCTGCTGGGGGGTTTAATGTTGCTGGTCGTAGGCAATCTATTTTACTGCATTTCTTGTTATTAAAAAATTCCAGAAAAATTACATCATCACAAACTGATTCTTGGTTCTGTATTCTCTAAAAGGGACGGTGCTCGAAGCTGGGTAGCGGGTGGAACCAAGGGATGGTGCTTGGAGGTGGATAGAGGGTGGAACCAAGGGACGGTGCTCGGAGGTGGGTAGAAAGTGGAGCCAAGGGACAGTGCTCGGAGGTGGGTAGAGGGTGGAGCCAAGGGACGGTGCTCGGAGGTGGGTAGAGGGTGGAACCAAGGGACGGTGCTCGTAGGTGGGTAGGGGGTGGAACCAAGGGACATTGCTCGGAGGTGGGTAGGGGTTGGAACCAAGGGACATTGCTCGGAGGTAGGTAGAGGGCGGAACCAAGGGATGGTGCTCGGAGGTGAGTAGAGGGTGGAACCAATGGATGGTGCGTGGAGGTGGGTAGTGGGTGGAACCAAGGAACGGTGTTTGGAGGTGGGTAGGGGGTGGAACCAAGGGACAGTGCTCAGAGGTGGGTAGTGGGTGGAAGCAAGGGATGGTGCTCAGAGGTGGGTAGAAAGTGGAGCCAAGGGACAGTGCTCGGAGGTGGGTAGAGGGTGGAGCCAAGGGACGGTGCTCGGAGGTGGGTAGAGGGTGGAACCAAGGGATGGTGCTCGGAGGTGGGTAGAGGGTGGAAACAAAGGATGGTGCTCGGAGGTGGATAGAGGGTGGAAACAAAGGATGGTGCTCAGAGGTGGGTAGAGGGTGGAACCAAGGGATGGTGCTCGGAGGTGAGTAGAGGGTGGAACCAATGGATGGTGCGTGGAGGTGGGTAGGGGGTGGAACCAAGGAACGGTGTTTGGAGGTGGGTAGGGGGTGGAACCAAGGGACAGTGCTCAGAGGTGGGTAGTGGGTGGAAGCAAGGGATGGTGCTCAGAGGTGGGTAGAAAGTGGAGCCAAGGGACAGTGCTCGGAGGTGGGTAGAGGGTGGAGCCAAGGGACGGTGCTCGGAGGTGGGTAGAGGGTGGAACCAAGGGATGGTGCTCGGAGGTGGGTAGAGGGTGGAAACAAAGGATGGTGCTCGGAGGTGGATAGAGGGTGGAAACAAAGGATGGTGCTCAGAGGTGGGTAGAGGGTGGAACCAAGGGATGGTGCTCGGAGGTGAGTAGAGGGTGGAACCAATGGATGGTGCGTGGAGGTGGGTAGGGGGTGGAACCAAGGAACGGTGTTTGGAGGTGGGTAGGGGGTGGAACCAAGGGACAATGCTCAGAGGTGGGTAGTGGGTGGAAGCAAGGGATGGTGCTCAGAGGTGGGTAGAGGGTGGAACCAAGGGACGGTGCTCAGAGGTGGGTAGGGGGTGGAACCCGGGATGGTGCTCAGAGGTGATGGGTAGAGGGTGGAACCAAGGGATGGTGGTCGGAGGTGGGTAGAGGGTGGAACCAAGGGATGGTGCTTGGAGCTGGGTAGAGGGTGGAACCAAGGGACAGTGCTCGGAGGTGGGTATGGGGTGGAAACAAGGGGTGACTCATAAGGGGGGAGTACCTGCACCTATTCTCTAAGAAAAAAAGCCCTGATGAGTCTACTGGAGCAGCATGGTCCAGATTTATTGGTGTTATTCTATTTTATAACTAAAATAAATTCAAATACAGGAAGTAAAATTTAGCCACTATAAAGTTGCACTCACCTCCCGAAGAGAGCCCTTAGATCTCAGCATCTTGCAAACCACAGTCATTGGAATACACAGCATGGAGGCCAAAGCGAGACTCCAGCCAATGGCCTCACCCCACCACGGGTAGACGTAAGTCTTGTTGTAAGTCAGGGGTTTGTAGTTGACTACATGAAACACAAAAATACCCTGAAAGAAAAAAAAATACCACAAAACGTTTTTCCACATATTGACCTGGCTCTGTCTGGTAATGAATGATTTTTGTAGAATGTGTTTTTATTTTTACATCAACCCAGGTATAGCATGTTATAAAATATGTATGTGATTAGCACCTGTAATGATAACATTTATTATATACATTTCACATTTATTTATTTGAATGTATCTTTATATTTTATAGTAGGCCAAGCTGGCAAGTAGGCCAAGCATTAGAGGCAGCAGTTGCTGCAAACTATAGCACTGCTGGGGTTCTTTGAGCAGGTTGCTATTTACATAAATAATTTATAAATAATTCTATCATTAAAGTGTATTTTTAAAATTTTTATTCTATTATTTTTTTATTCGTATTATATATATATATATATATATATATATATATATATATATATATATATATATATATAAATAAAATATTTATTTATTTATTTACTTATTTTTAGGGGTTTTTATTTGTTATAAATAATTATACATAATTTTATCATTAAAGCGTATTTTATATATATATATATATATATATATATATATATATATATATACATACATAATATATATATACATTTATTTTTTTACAGGTTTTTTTAGTTTTTTTTTTTTCTAGTTTTGGATATAATAGGGAAGAATTTTTACAGATTTTTTTTTAGTTTTTTTTTTTCTAGTTTTGGATATAGTAGGGAAGAATTTTAGTCCCCATTCAGGTTTTCATTGCGTATCACCATGGGATTTACCCTTTTATTTCTCCTGCTGAGCACTGTCATTGAGATAAAATGATGGGAAATCTAAATCTTTAGGGGCCTATTTATAAAGCATTTGTTGGATGAATAGCACACGCCTTTCTACAGGCTGCAAAATTTTGGACATAATTGGCCAAAATGCAATATAGTAAAAAGAAAAAAAAAACCTTAAAAAAAAATAACATTAAAAATATAAAAAAAATACACCTAAATACCTTTAATTGCCCAATGCAGTATATCCAAAACAAAGCCCAAAAAATTTTTTTTAAATCTGAATAGCAAATAAATGCAAACAAAAAATAAAAAAATACACACCTTAATACCATTAATTGGCCAAAATGCAGTATATTTTCTCATTGAGGTATTTTAGAAATCTACTGCATTTTGGCCCCTAGATGGACTTCACAAATATAGGTATTAATCTATTACAAAAACTAAATACCTTTCTGTCAGGGCGTGTTACTGCAAAGTTATGTGTGTTGCGGTAGCATTTATTTTGAGCTACACCCAGGGGCGGACTGACAACTCATGGGGCCCCCGGGCAATAGGGGATCATGGGGCCCCTGTGTCCTTGCTCAAACTCAAAAAAGCCTATGAAAAAGGTACCAGGGGCATCTCATGGGGCCCCCTACTGACCCCGGGCCCTCGGGCAGTGCCCAAGTTTCCAAATGGTCAGTCTGCCCCTGGCTACACCCTGTTACACTAAAGCAATGCAGCTCCGATCTGCATCAGAAAACATTCTTCATGTCCATTTTATATTCTAACATATGACTGGGTCCTAAAAAAAACTATTTTAACCCTTTCCTACTTGTCCAAAACAGAAAAAAAACCAGTTTTGGATATACTGTATATACTTAACCTACATATACAGAAATGAGCAGAAAACTGGATTTTTAGCAATTGTGGAATGTGGAATTTGTACTTTTTTAATCTCCTTTATTTCATAAATACAGTGGTGGCCTTTTATGTCTTTTTGTTGTTTTTATTTTTTGTTTGGTTTTGTTTAAATAGCTAAAAAAAAAAAAATAAAATGATACAATTTATTAAAAAGAATTATAAAATGTTTAAAGGATTATGAAAAAATATTATTATTAAGAATGTATTGAAAATGAAAAATAATAATGCAAAGTATTTTTATGTATTTATGTGGGCTCTAAAATTGATTGTTAATGTTATTGAAAATGAAAAATAATAATGCAATTTATTATGAATATTGTATTATTAATGTGCTTATATGTGCATTTTCAGGGTCCTGCAAATCAGAATGAAAGTAAATTGGGCAGTGCCTGCTCCACTTACCACACAGACGAGGGGAGTGATCACAGACCAGCACCACTTCATGTACGGCAAAGGCCGGTAACCAATCATCCGAGCAATGTCATCCATGAACCTGTCTGCACCTGGAGAGCACAATTCTGTGTTACACACATTACCAACACCTATATCATCATATCCATTCATTGTAGAAGAGCCTTACTCTGACGGACAAGAAACCTAAACAACATACAATAATGTAACAATTTATAGTATAAAGTACAGAAAAGAAATGCCCGTAGCAAAAAAGAAAGAAGAAATGGCGCAGGGCATACATGACTAGGCCCAGAGTGGGGAAGGAGGGAACAGAAAGGGTTAAGGCAGATCCAAGGGGTTTGTTTTTGATAGTGGGGGTATTTGGTTGGTGGAAGGTTGAGAGTAGGTGGGGTTTCCTGCACCTTAGGGTGGGGGGTTTCAGTGAGGGGGCATCAGTTTGAGCTGGACGTCAGGAGTGAGAGCTTCCCTCCCGCCCTCCCTGTTTTTGGTGAGTATTGGGTTCCTCCAGGTAAAGGGGGGGGGTTAGGTTGGTTCCTGGGTGGTTGTTGGTCTTTGGAGGCGGTTCTTATCTTGGAAGGTAAAAACAATGGTGTGGGACCCATCGGTGGTATGGATGTACCCGGGGACATTCCCAGTTAACCAAGGTTTAACTGGAAGGTGGTGGTGGTGGTGCTGCACTGCGGACGGTATGGTTGTCTCCGAGCTGGTTGGTTGCGGCTGGAGGCCTAGTGTATATGGTTGTCCGCAGGTGCATTTCGGATTGTTTGGGGGTGCCTTCGAAGACCAACAACAATTCTTTGGGTTTCCGTTATAAGGAATGGTTGGTGTATTTAAATTTGTGTTGTTAATAAAAGGCCGTGTTGGCCATTTACTCCAAATTTTGGTGTCATGTTTTTTGTAAGTATAATTGGTTAAGGGGAAAAGGGGGGGTTTGTACGGAACAGTCATGGTGGTAATGGGGAGTGGACAAGCCTATCTCTGGTGCAATAGTCATGAGACCAGGCCATTTTTTTTTGCTGTTCAGCACTGCGTTACTTTAACTGGTAATTGATAGGTCGTGCAACATTGTACCCATACTATTTTTTTTTTTTTTTTTTACACAAATAGAGCTTTCTTTTGGTGGTATTTGATCACCACTGGGGCTTTTTAATTTTGAGCTATAAATGAAAAAAGAACAAAAATTTAGAAAAAAAAACAAACAATATTTTGAACTTTCTACTATAAAGCATATCCAATAGAAACATTTAAAGAATCACAAATGTTGGCCAAAATGTATTCTGCTACATGTATTTGTTAAAAAATACATCACAATAAGTGTACACTGATTGGTTTGTGTTAAAGTTAAAGCGCCTACCCACATGGAAGAAAAATATATTTTAAATGTATTTTAAAAAATATTCTTCCCAAATATATTGACGTATCTTTGAAATACTACAATTTTGTATGTATTCAATATTTAAAAAAAAAAAAAAAAAAAATATAATATATATATATATATATATCTTCTAGATTGTAAGCTCCAAGGATCAGGGCCCTCCTATCCCTGTATTGAACTGTATTGTTGCTGTATTGTCTCCCGTTATATTGTAAAGCGCTGAGCAAACTGGTTATATAAATCCTGTATAATAATAATAATATATAAATCCTGTATAATAATAATATATATATCTCAAATATATTAAATTCCAAAGATGTAGATTTGTATTTTTAAAGATATACAGTGTATTTGAAAATTCATTTTTTAAAATATTTTTCATATATTTTGTAATAAAAACGCATTTCAACCTACAGTATATATATATATTATACTGTATGTTGAAATGCATTTTTATTACAAAATACATGGAAAATATTTTTTTTTTAATTTTTTAAATTATACTGTATGTCTTTAAAAATACATTTAATCTACATTTTTGGAATGCATTTACAAATATATGTAAAAATATATGTTTAAAATGACTTTTTTATATGTTAAAAAAAACTGAAGAATATATTTAACCGTATAACCTACTACCGTTTTTGATGCAGAAACAAATGTGGTGTGGGGGGTGGGGGGGGGGGTGGGGGTGTGGTGGTTGTGTGGGGTGGGGGGGGGGGGTGGGTTTGGGGGTGGGTGTGGTTGTGGGTGGGGGGGTGGGGGGGGGGGTGGGGGGTGGGTGGGGGGGTGGGTGTGGGTGTGGTGTGGTGGGGGGGTGGTGTGGGGGGGGGTGTGTGGTGGGGGTTGTTGGGGTGGGGGGGTGTGGGTGGTGTGGTGTGGTGTGGGTGGGTTTTTTGGGGGGGGGGGGTGTGGGGGGGGGGTGGGGGGGGGTGTGTGTGGTGGGTGTGGGGGTGGGTTTGGGGGGGTTTGTGGGGGGCATGGGGGGTTGTTGTGGTGTGTGGGTTGGGGTGTGGTGTGGGGGGGGTGTGGTGTGGTTGTGTGGTGGGGGGGTGTTGGGGGGTGGTGTTTGGGGGTGGTTTGTTTTGGGTGTTGTGTGGGTGGGTGTGTTTTGGTTTTTTTGGTGTGGTGTGTTGTGGTGTGTTGTGGGGTTGTGTGGGTTTTTGTTTTGTGGTGTGTGGGGGGGGGGGTTTTGTTGGTGTGGGGGGGTGGGTTGTGTGGGGGGTGTGGGGGGGGTGGGGGGGTGTGTGGGTGGGTGGGGTGGTGGGGGGGGGGGGTGTGTGTGGGGGGGGGTGGGGGGGGTGGGGTGGGGGGGTGGGGGGGTGTGGTGTGGGGGGGGGGGGGGGGGTGGGGGGGTTGGGGTGTGGGTGGGGGGGTGGTGGTGTGGTTGGGGGTGTGTTTGGTTGTTTGGGGTGTGGTGTGGGTGGTGTGGTGGGTGGTGTGGTGGGTTGTGGGTGTGGTGGGGGGGTGGTGGTGGGTGTGGTGTGTGGGGGGGGGTTTTTGTGTTGTGGGGGGGGGTGCATGTGGGGGGGTGGGGGTGTGTGTGTGTGGTTTGTGTGTGGTTTGTGGGTGGTGTGTGTGCATGTGGGGTGGGGTTTTGGGGGGTGTGGGGGTGTGGGGTGTTTTTTGGGTGGTGGTGTGTGTGTGTTTTGGGGTGTGGTGGGGTGTGGTGTGTGGTTTTTTGGGGGTTGGGGGGGTGGGTTTTGGGTGGGGGGGGTGTGGTGGTTGGGGTGTGGTTGGGGGTTTGGTGGGGTGGTTTTGGTGTGGGGGTGTGGTGTTTGGGTGGGTGGGTTGTGGTGTGGTGTGTTTTTTTGGGGGGTGGGGGGGGGGGGGGGGGTGTGGTGTGTGTTTTTTGGTTTTGTGCATGGGGGGGGGGTGGTTGTTTGGGGGGGTGTGTGTGGTGGGGGGGGGTGTGGTGTGGGGGGGTGGGGGGGTTGTGGTGGGGGGTTGGGTGTGTGTGTGGTGGTGTGTGGTGGGGGTTTTTGGGGGGGGTGGTGGGGGGTGTGGGGTGTGTGTGGTTTGGTGTGGGGGTGGGTGGGGTGGGTGTTGCATGTGGTGTGGGTTTTGGTTTGTGTGGTGGTGTGGGTGGTTTGTGTTGTGGTGTGCATGGTGGTTGTTGTGGGGGGGGTGGGTGTGTGTGGGTGGGTGTGGGGTGTGTTTTTGGGTTGTTGTGGGGGGGTGGGGTGGTGTGCATGTGGGGATGTGTGTCGTTGCATTGTTGGGTTTGTGGTGTGGTGGTGTGCATGTGATGTGTGGTGTGGTGTGCATGTGTGGTGTGGTGTGGTGTGCATGTGGTGTGGTGTGCATGTGGTGTGGTGTGCATGTGTGTGTGGTGTGCATGTGGTGTGCATGTGTGTGCATGTGGTGTGAACGGCCCTTGGAGTAAACTCCAAACTTTCTGCGTATACAGATTGTGACGCACTGCTGCAATGATGGTTTATTGTAACAATCCACTAGGTGGCACTGCATCCCGTTCAATCTAGAGAATATGATAGTGATCCTGTTCATTAAAGACATATTTAACCTCTTGCTGGCTGCTACAGCGTGGTTGGCCAGTTCTGGGAGGGTGTCGTATGACGTCCTCCCAGAATCGCTCCCCCCCTAGCGCACACCCAGCACTGTCTGTGATCTCTTTGTTCTTCGGACACAGCTCATCGCAGAGCTCAGACTGGGGGAGGGAAAAGCAGAACAAGGAGCCAATCACTTGAGCTGCAGTGCATGGAGCCTGCTGATAGTAGGAGAGAGCAGAGTGATAGAGAGGTGAGCTCATCAGTCTTCTGCCTCCTCATTTTATTATTCGGTCACAGGCTGTGGAAGGGACAAGACCTGTAGGTGTTACTGCGGCAGAGAAAAAAAAAAACAGGCCTCCTCCTACCCTGCCAAACCGGGCTGTGCTGTGTGGCAGAGCTGTATTAATCTCAGGACAGGATGAACAGAAATCCTTTAGCAGGTAAAACAGCTTGCTTGCCGTTTTGCCTGGAGTTCGGCTTTAAATGAACTTGTTTTTGTGTGCAGCTGTCTGTTTCACTGTAATGAAGATGAGTTGTGATTCTTGTAGTGTATGACTCAGGGGCGTCCCTAGGGTTGGTGTCACCCGGTGCGGTAACACTTGGTGTCACTTCTCCGAGTGTGTGCAGACCGGACCGGTGTTGAAAGATCAGTTAACCCCGTATAGGTTGGACGCCGACAATCCCCGCAGGATGGATCGGATCTGCGGATTGAGCGTAATCAATCTGAGTCCGATCCATTATGCTCTCCCCAATCCGCAGATCCCATCCATCCTGCTGGGACCGTCGGCGTCCAACCTATACGGGGTTAACTGATCTTTCAACACCGGTCCGGTCTGCACACACTCGGGAAGTGATGTCAGATGGAGGAGGTTCCTGCTATCGGGGCCACATTCCTGGTCTTGGATCTTGCAAAGCCTTACCTAGATCAGTTAACCCCGTATAGGTTGCAAGCCGACGATCCCCGCAGGATGGATCGGATCTGTGGATTGGGGAGCATAATGGATCGGATCTGCGGATTGGGGAGCATAATGGATCGGACTCCGATCCATTATGCTCAATCCACAGTTCCGATCCATTATGCTCAATCCACAGATCCGATCCATCTTGTGGGGATTGTCGGCTTGCTTTAAAACTTTCTTTTTCGTGGAGCTCGTGGAGAGGGTCCGGTGTCACCCCGTGAGATAGGTGCACCCGTTGCGGCGCGTACCCCCCGCACCCGCCTAAGGACGCCACTGGTATGACTTACCATAAACCCACGCGATAACCACGCACTCCCAGAAAGCTTGCCACAGCAGCGTGATGCCACTCGCAGAATAGTAGTCAAAGAGCTGGAAGACGTACATCCCACCCTGCAATCATAAAATGGACAACTATGACCGAGACATGGGATTAAAATGGTTGTGGGGGGCTCTATTTATTTTAAGATGATAAGATTTTAAACAAATGTGTATATATATATATATATATATATATATATATATATATATATGTAACATATTCTGTTTTACTAATAAAATGTAAAGTATTACATGACAAAGGATTCCCAGAGCACTGTGGATTATCTAAAGAGGGGACACATCAGTGGCTGCCTGTTTTGAGGCTCTCTCTCTCTCTCTCTCTTTGTGTGATCGAAATCTTAGTCTGACAAAGGTGGTGAGAGGGAGGAGCCACTTTCACATTTGTCTGTAAATTTCAGCTTGAGCTACTGTGCACTGTAAACATCGGGATATTTACATCTGGCGGTAAGTAGATATGTTTGAAAAAAAACACAAATGCAACCTGTTGACTGGATATAATACAACATTTTTCATATGTACGTATGACAAGTTGTACTGGATTCCGAAATGAAGAACTACTGGATTGATAACCTCGTGTTCCCTGCAAAACCCCTATTGACTCTCAGTAGCAGCCGACACGTGGTTGGGTACGTATGTTCTCCCGAACAGAAGCAGATAGGATTCTGCGATGGCATTTGCTGAAACCATTGCCATATAGGAACAACTTGGCATTGATCTGTGCCCATCAGTGATGCCAGTCAGTGTCACCTATCAGTGCCCTTCTATTCTGCCTATTAATGCCCAATCAATTCTGCCAGTCAGTGCCACCTATCAGTTCCCTTCTATTCTGCCTATCAGTGCCCATCAATTCTGCCAGTCAGTGCCACCTATCAGTTCCCTTCTATTCTGCCTATCAGTGCCCATCAGTGCCACATATCATGGCAGCCTCATCAGTACCTATATATTTGGCCTCTTGGCGGGTGGGACTTAACACCGAGATGCATACCGAACAGGGGCGGACTGACCATTCAGACACTCGGGCACTGCCCGAGGGCCGGGGTATGTATTGGCCCCATGAGATGCCCCTGGTAACTTTCATAGGCTTTTTTGGGAGTGGTTTGAGTGTGGACAAGGACACAGGGGCCCCATGATCCCCTATTGTCCGGGAGCCCCATGAGTTGTCAGTCTGCCCGTGAGCATCCACCAGTGGCTAACTGAAAGCTCCAGATCTCTACTTGTGTTCGGGAGCTTAACGATCATGTGACAGCCAATCATGGCAATCACGTGATCACAAACCCCGCCCTGCCTCCCAGTATCTAAAACCCTTTAAGGGTCCAGGAGGCACCAGCACAAAGGGGTTAACATCAGAGATGGTTGATTCAAGGAATATCCAATTGCCTCCTGGGGGATCAGGAAGGAATTTTTTTCCCATGCTGAAGCATAATTGGGTCGTGCTTCATAGGGTTTGTTGCCTTCTTCTGGACCAACGGTAGGATAAGGAATGTGTGTACTGAGGTTTTCTATTGATTTATTTTTTCCGTTGGTTGAACTAGATGGAATTATGTCTTTTTTTCAACCTGACTATGTGAGTATTGAACAAAGCTGGAATTTCTGCACCATTATCATGGTCGCCCTTTTTGTAGACTCAAGTGATGAACTTCGAAAAGGGACCTTGGGTTCCTGAGCTTTTTTTTAGATTCTCCATGTGCCCTCTTGAGAAGGATCTCTTTTTGAAGAGGTCTCTATGCAGCAGAACAAAATAGGAGGTGTGACAATTTAATTCCCGGAATGCCGCGGCGTAGCACTATGGCGGTGAGTCGTACAGCCGTTCGCACTCCAGCGTGTTCCAACATGTTCTAACTTGCACTCGCCTGGGTCGCAGAAATCCAGTGTTTTTGAATGGCATCGGTGGTTTAAAGGAGAAGTACAGCCAAAGCTCTTTTGGCTGTACTTCTCCTGTGGATCACAGGAGTGCAGTTCGATCTGCAATCCTGTGACCCGTTTTCAGCCGGTCCTGGCTGGGGAAAGATCCCGACTTCAATGTCGGGATCCACCCCAGTGTCTGGAGCAGCACCAGGCTCAGCCTCTCAGCGAGCTGCTCCCTCCCCCTCCACAGCCCAGTGCTCCAGTGCCCATCAGTGCTGCCTATCAGTGTCCATCAGTGCTGCCTATTAGTGCCCATCAGTGCAGCTTCCTCGGCCTATATCAGTGAAGGAGGGAGAGCTGAGCAGAGGGGTGCTGAGCAATCACCGCTCTCTACCCAGAGTGGAGAGGAAAACTCAGCGATCAGCAAACAGTGGTCATGTGATCGCTGACTTCTCACACTTAGAGCCGCTTGGGATAGATGCAGCATCGGCCCAATGCTGCATGAACCAAGATAAGTATGGATGAGGGGAAAAAAAGTGCACACTTCTCTTTTAAGGATGAGCGGGAAGATGTCCACAATGACGTAAAAAGTGGGAAGCCAAAAAAGCAAAGGACGGATGCAAAATTGGACAAAGTGCAAAACCTCATATATTCACGCTCATGTGTTTTATCACAAGGGGCTAGTTCACTACAATTTCATAGAACACGGTACAACGGTCAACATTGTCACATAGAAATTCTAAAAAGGTTACAGGAATCTGGAGGAAAAGAACAGAGCTCTGGCCTGACAAGTAGATTCTCCACCACGACAATGCTCCTGCACAAACATTTTCCCAGGAATTAAATTGTCATACCTCCTATACACAACCCCCATTTTGTACATCATTGTATAGACCAGACTGCAAACGTACCTCGTCCCTCAAATATCATATAAAGAACATTTTGTACAGTTTAGACATTACACCTCTTTCTTTGGTGGACCAGCCCTTCAAATTTCACTAGTACCTTACCTCGGTCACCATGGAGAGGTCGATGACAAAGCACAGAAGACAACAGACTGCAGCAGTTACCTCCCTGCGCACAACACCATTAACTGGGTGAGGAAAAAAATCCAGGATTCCAGTGATGAATCCCTCCACCCCCACGAACTGTCAAAAGAGTAGAAGAACTAGTCAGTAAACTGGTAGGAAGGCCAGCTGAACACATTATAGTTTCATGAGAGGTTTCCCGTACCCAGACCCTGGCTACCATCACACAGACTGTCCCACTGGGCTGTCTCCCGTCTCCTCCTCCACCTGTGCCCTGACGGTGCCAGTGTCCAACCTCCTCTCTGTAGGGCGCCCATGTAAGAGAAGAGGAAGGTGAAGAGAGAGCAGATGTCCTGTAGGGAGTGGAGGTCTTGCTCAGCACTTGAAGACATCACATAAATACCAAACATTTTCCCTGGGTGCCAAACTAATGCCAATAAAATTATAATACAAAAACATTTCACCACCCACCATATATGGTGCAAGAAACTGCTAACATCTTCATACTTATAAAGAAATACCATGCACGGTTTACGGTTTTCAATGTAGCAAAAGAATTTCATGGACGACTTGGTTCATAGAAACGTTCACAGCCTAAGTAGGAAGAGGTATAAAATAGATAACGAAAATGTTCTCCTGAAAATCTGACAATTCCTATTTTACCTAAATGCTTCTGCACGTTGGGTCCCTCAGCTTCTGGCAACTGACCAAAAGTACACATTAGCATGTCTGCCAGGAATTTATGTTTGTTTTAAGCAGAACCTGCAAATTGCAAGCAAGATTTGGGACCATAGGTCCACCACTTTAAGCAGTCCAGGCCATGGAAGCTTGAGGATTCCAATTTTTCTGGGCTGAATAGCCTTTGGCAAGGCTAAATGCTTTGGTATACTAGTTTTTTTTGACTACTATGGGGACTTGACTAAAATATTTCAGCACATCTCTGACATTTCCTACTTAGGGCACATATTAAATCATTCCGAGAACCTTGAGCAGAAATGTGATTTGGGTTGCTTTCTCATATAATTATTATCTTGCCTGGGCAGAAGTCCAATCAGGTAGCCACCTGCCTGGCATGGTCTTGTTCCTTGAGCTCAAACAGATGTTTGATGCTAACTGTTAGCATGACTCTTTAAATTGTCTCCGATTCCTGCCAAGTCTCTTCATCTACCAAAGAACATATGTGAAGTCTTACCCCGCTACCAGAAAATGTAAATGTCTTTATTGTGGTTTGTTACTTCAGTGGGGATCAATCAAGGATAGAGCAGAGGTGGTTGTTCTATTAGGACAGCCATTCTCCGAAAGGGTCCCAACACTGTAAGGGACATTTTCCCAATGATTCCAAAGAATTTATTGCAATGAGGGATTACCCTGCTACCAGAAAATGTAAGTGTCTTTATTGTGGTTTGTTACTTCAGTGGGGATCACTCAAGGATAGAGCAGAGGTGGTTGTTCTATTAGGACAGCCATTCTCCGAAAGGGCTCTGTAAAATTCTAAGGTTCCTCCAGAGGTTGCTGTGGGTTCTTTGAGCTTTGACTGACTGACCTCCCATCTGATGGCGACTGCATAGTTCTGGGACCAACACCACTTGGCAAAGCCAGCAGCATGACACCAATGATTTTTTTGTCTACAAGGGTGGTATTCTGACCACCACTGTAAGGGACATTTTCCCAATGATTCCAAAGAATTTATTGCAATGAGGGATTACCCTGCTACCAGAAAATGTAAGTGTCTTTTATTGTGGTTTGTTACTTCAGTGAGGATCACTCAAGGATAGAGCAGAGGTGGTTGTTCTATTAGGACAGCCATTCTCCGAAAGGGTTCCACCACTGTAAAGGACATTTTCCCAATGATTCCAAAGAATTTATTGCAATGAGGGATTACCCCGCTACCAGAAAATGTAAATGTCTTTATTGTGGTTTGTTACTTCAGTGGGGATCACTCAAGGATAGGGCAGAGGTGGTTGTTCTATTAGGACAGCCATTCTCCGAAAGGGCTCTGTAAAATTCTAAGGTTCCTCCAGAGGTTGCTGGGGGTTCTTTGAGCTTTGACTGACTGACCTCCCATCTGATGGCGACTGCATAGTTCTGGGACCAACACCACTTGGCAAAGCCAGCAGCATGACACCAATGATTTTTTTGTCTACAAGGGTGGTATTCTGACCACCACTGTAAGGGACATTTTCCCAATGACTCCAAAGAATTTATTGCAATGAGGGATTACCCCGCTACCAGAAAATGTAAATGTCTTTATTGTGGTTTGTTACTTCAGTGGGGATAATTCAAGGATAGAGCAGAGGTGGTTGTTCTATTAGGACAGCCATTCTCCGAAAGGGTTCTGTAAAACTCTAAGGTTCCTCCAGAGGTTGCTGGGGGTTCTTTGAGCTTTTCCTGACTGACCTCCCATCTGATGGCGACTGCATAGTTCTGGGACCAACACCACTTGGCAAAGCCAGCAGCATGACACCAATGATTTTTTTGTCTACAAGGATGGCATTCTGACCACCACTGTAAGGGACATTTTCCCAATGACTCCAAAGAATTTATTGCAGTGAGGGATAAAATGGAAGACAGGGAGCGCTCACTAAGTGTAGCATTAAAATCATCAACTTTATTGAAATACAATCAGAAACAAATAAAATGCACATTTCCACAAGAATACTGCTGTCAGCCCCACCAATGCCTCATCTTGCTTGTGCAGCCACTAGGCTCTGTGTAGAAGGCTTGGGACCACTGGAAACGGAAACAGGAAGTGCCAATAACCACCCTGGAGTGCACAGGGAAGCAGGTGCAGAAGTGACGTCATGTGGGTTGTCCCTTGGTCATTCACAGATGGAATGTTAAAACAGGCATCTATCAAAATGCTTCAGTCTAGGGCAACGGGGTCCCGTCCTGGAACCATCTGGTTGAAGAAGCTGATGTGTTTCAGGAGCTGCACTCCCTTCTTCAGAGCAAAGCTTCTCCTGAAATGCGTCAGCTTCTTCAACCAGAAGGTCCCAGGATGGCACCCCATTGCCCTAGACTGAAGCATTTTGATAGATGCCTGTATTTACATTCAATCTGTGAGTATCCATTTGTTATATAGGTTTTAATAAAAGGTTTTATCCCGATAATGCACAAGGAGTGTGTGCCCTCTTGTTTTTCAGTGGCTCGAAGACTCCCCGATCTGTGCAGGGCTGCACCTGAGCCAATGGCATAAACCGTGGAGCATCATGATTCGAATAGTAATGAGTTTTTATTTAATTATTGCCTTGTGGTCATGGCTACGCATTTCAGAGTTTCCTGCTCTTTCCTCCGCCTAATAAATGTGCACACCACCCCGTGTTCCTATTGGCCAAAGAAAAGAGCAGGAAGCTCTGAAAGACATAGCCGCACCCATAGGGCAGCTCACATGATGTCACTTCCATTCCTGCCCCCCTGTGCACACCAGGATGGTTACTGGCACTTCCCGTTTTGGTTTTCAGTGGTCCTGAGCCTTCTACACATGAGCCCGGTGGCTGCACAAACAGGACGAGACATCGGCGGGACTAACAGCGGTGTTCTTGTGGAGATACGCCTTTTGTCTATTAAGCCAGTGAGCTGCTAACTGTAGTTCAATAAGGTGGATGATTTTAATGCTACACTTAGTGGGCGCCCCCTTTCTCCCTTTTGTTTCCATTACAGAGGCTGCTTTCTACTTTGGGGTGGCTGCCCTAAGTGAGCCTGCGGAGGGCAATACAGGACTATCTGTTGAAGTTGGACTTTTATGGACTTGGGCTGCTTAGCCCATTAGCACCATTTATCTCTTGTTTATTGTAGCGAGTAATCCCTGAGACCTGAAAATTATTTACCTGGGGTAAAAAGTTTTACCCCAGTTTGAAAAGTTTGAAAAGGACTGTACTAGTGGATTTATTGGGCATTCCCGTTTTCTGTGGCCACTTTGAAATTTTAATTGCCCAATCCTAGTCAATGCATTTTATTTTGGCTTGGATAGGGTAGGGAAGGGTTAGAACCTCATTTACATTCTTATTACCATCTGTGTCTCTATTGGGCAGACTTTCCCTCACTTCCTGTCAAGACAGGAAGTGATGGGAAATCTCTTCCATGGAAACATATTTAAGTAGAATGAGGATGGGTAGAGAACGTCTGCCAATGTTTTTATTGCAGTCTATTCCTTCCTGCCCTGACTACACCCACAATTCATATTTCTTGTATAGGCATCACAAGGACAGGAAGTGAGGGAAAACCTCCCTAATGTGGTGACAGACATAAATAGAGCCCAAAGGCACAAAAAAATGGCCAGCACACCAATCAGAAAAGACCCCAAAACTTGAATTGCAATAATAAAATATTTAGCACATAGATGCTTAAAAAAACCACAGATACCGTGGCCTCTTTATCACGGTGACAGATGAAAGAGGTCATAATTAGACATGCGTTTCGTTACAAATCTAAATTTGGACAATATTTTTCAATTTCCAATTCAAAATAAATTAGAATGAAACATATTTTCTAAATTTGAGAATAAATTTGAATGTGAAAATAAATTTGAATTCGAAAATGAATTCAAATTCGAAATGGAAACATATTACAATAAATACAGTGGGGTATAAAAGTGAAATAAAATGATGATTCCTTCTTAGGCCGCTTTATAGAATATAAAAGAATAGAATAAAAAAGAATAGAAAATAGTAGACTATAATAGAATAGGATATAAAAGGATAGAATAGAATCAAAAAGAATAGAATAAAACAGTACAGGATAGGAATTAATAGAATATAAAAAAAGAATGGATAGAACAGAATATAAAAAAACAGAATATAATAGAATAGGGCAGCACAGTGGCTAAATGGTTAGCACTTCCACCTGGCAGGACTAAGCTTGTGGGTTCAAATCCCAACCACAGCACCACCAGCCTGGAGTTTGCATGTTCTCCCTGTGGGTTTCCTGCAGGTACTCCGGTTTCCTCCTCCACTCCAAAAACATGGTTTAATTGGCTCCTATTTAAATTGTCCCTAGTATGTGTATGTATGAATGTGAGTTAGGGACCTTAGATTGTACACCCCTTGAGGGTTAGGGACCTTAGATTGTACACCCCTTGAGGGTTAGGGACTGATGTGAATGTACAATATATATATGTAAAGCGCTGCGTAAATGGACGGTGCTATATAAGTACCTGAAATAATTGAATAAAATAGAACAAATATGGCTGTCTTCCGAAATTCAAATTTCAAATCGATTTGAAAATACCGAATATAGTAAATTAATCCAAATATAAGAAAATATGATTCTTATATGATAAAAAGAAATAACTTAAAGCGGGCGGAGCTCCACCCAAAAGGGGAAGTTCTGCTTTAAGCCTTTGTCCCACGCACCCCATTAAGGATTGGCACCTTTGGGGAGCGGGGGGAGGGGGTACCCGAATTTGACAGGTACCCTCTCCCACTTCCGCTGCGAACACCTTGGTGATCGGAAGCAGAAGTTGTCCCTCCCTCCCCGTAGTCTTCTGGGACACGTGACAGGTCCCAGAAGACTACGTGGCCATCCACAAAGCGCAGCGCTTCTCGCGCATGCACAGTGGGCACCCGGCTGTGAAGCCGCAAGCTGTCACAACTGAGTGCCCACACTAAAGATGGCGGCGCCAGGGAGAGAAGAGGGCCGGTGAAACCAGCCATTGTGAAGAGACCGCTGGACAGAGGGACAGGTAAGTGGCTGTATTTTACAAGTCAGCAGCTACAGTTTTTGCAGCTTTTGACTTTTATTTTTTTTTTTTCAGGTGGAACTCCACTTTAACGAATGAATCCAAAACTAAACGAATGTTTCCATTGTGCACATCTCTAGTCATAATGTCTTAAAACTTCAATGGTTTTGATGTAGTCTCTGTGCTAAATATGCTGTTATTGCAATTAAGGACTACAGATTTGAAGCCTTTACTTCTTGGTGTTCTGGCTGTTCTTGTATCTTGGGCTCCATAGTATCACAGTTGGTCCTGCACCCTACTGAAGGGTTTAAAGGTACATTGCGGGATGGACTTCCGCTCAGTCAGAAACAGAGACCTGACAAATAGTTCTTCCTAACTGTACCCAAAACTTCATACAAGACCGGACTGGCTATCTAATGAGCTTTCCAAGTGAGGACTTGCCTTCCACCAAGGAGTTGTCTAGGCTCGTAACATCCAAACTAGTTCTAAAAAACTAAAAATAATAAGTCAACTTGGCTAGAATTCGACTTTAACAAAACTGCCCATCTCACTTTTCTTTCAGATGTTTGCATTTAATCATTTTCATCAATCTTGACAATTTTGCAGGTGGCCTAAAAAATGACATAGCAGTCAAAAATGTGCAACAGAATTATGGCCTAGAGAATTTAGATTGGGTAAAGTGGCCAGGTCACCATTTCAATTTGTAATTCATTCACTGGTCCAAACCCCTTGTTTACATTTACATACAATGTCCGGAGATTACCTGGCTGTCCAGACCAAGAACCAAGAGCATAAAGAAGAAAAGTGCAGCCCAGATCGGAGCAAATGGCATCAAAGTCACAGCCTTTGGATATGCGATAAAGGCCAGTCCAGGACCTAGGAGGAAACAGGCAGAAGAACGTGAACCGTGAAAGACAAACTACAGGCAAGCAGCAAAATTGGAATACATAGAGAGAGATCCCGGTTTGACTGCCTAAAGGTATGTAAAATTATATTCTTGAAATTCATCCATCCTGCTATACTTCTGATGTATTGCTAAGTAGCATTAAGAGGCCATTAGGAGCCAGCACTTCTACAAACTTCATGCTAAGGCTGGCCATACACTTTCAATTGTATACAATTAGGCAGGCCCTTGCACTACACAGTTGAAGATAAATCTAAAGGAAATTGGGCAGAAATGGGACAGAAAATTGTATAGTGTATGGCCAGCCTTAGGCTCTACCTGCTTACTAGACTAGTACCGGTCGTCATCAATGGTGACACCCAACCTCAACTCTCTCCCACCTATTAAGCCATATGATTACCTTCCCCAGCTACAAATCAGTTTATAGACCAGGCACACTAACTGCTAGTCTAGTTTCCACCATCGCCTAGTGGAGTGGCCTCCAAATTGTGGCCTTTTGCTTGCCTTTATCTGGCTCTTGGAGCACTATTCTTCTGACTGGCACCTAGAATGGGGCATAAGTCCTCCCACTGACATCAAGAATGGGGCACTTTTCCTTCTCATAGAGGCACTATTCCTCTCATAGCCACCAACGATGAGGCACTATTTCCTCTCATAGCCACCAATGATGGGGCACTATTCATTCTACTGACACCAATGATGGGGCACTATTCCTCCCACTGATACCAATGATGGGGCAATATTCCTCCCACTGATACCAATGACGGGGCACTATTCCTCCCACTGATACCAATGATGGGGCACTATTCCTCCCACAGACACCAACAAAGGGGCACTATTCCTCCCAAAGACACCAACGATGAGGCACTATTCCTCTCATACACAACAATGATGGGGCACTATTCCTCCCACTTACACCAATGATGGGGCACTATTCCTCCCACCTACACCAATGATGAGGCACTATTCCTTCTACTGACACCAATGATGAGGCACTATTCCTCCATAGACACCAAAATGGGGCAATATTCCTCTCATAGACAACAATGATAGGGCACTATTCCTCCCACCTACACCAATGATGAGGCACTATTCCTTCTACTGACACCAATGATGAGGCACTATTCCTCCCAAAGACACCAACGATGAGGCACTATTCCTCTCATAGACACCAATGATGCAGCACTATTCCCCACTGAAATCAATGATGGGGCACTATTCCTTCCACTGACATCAATGATGGGGCACTATTCCTTCTAGTGATACCAATGAAGGGGCACTATTCTTTCCATAGACACCAACAATGGGGCACTATTCCTCCCACTAATACCAATGATGGCGCAGTATTCCTTCTTCTGACACCAATGATGGGGCACTATTCCTCCCACTTACATTAATGATGTGGCACTATTACTTATACTGACACCAATGATGGGGCAATTCCTTCCATAGATGGGGCACTATTCCTCTCATAGACACCAATGATGGGGCACTATTCCTCCCACTTCCATCAAAGATGGGGCACTATTCTTTCTCTACTGACACCAATGATGGGGCACTATTCCTCCCACTGACACCAATGATGGGGCACTATTCCTTCCACTAACATCAATGATGGCACAGTATTCCTTCTTCTGACACCAATGATGGGACACTATTCCACCCATAGATACCAACAATGGGACTCTATTATTCCCATAGACACCAATGATGAGGCACTATTCCTCCCACTAATACCAATGATGGCACAGTATTCCTTCTACTGACAACAATGATGGGGCACTATTCCCTCCATAGACACCAACAACGTGGCACTATTTCTCCCACTAATACCAATGATGGAACACTATTCCTTCTTCTGACACCAATGATGGGGCACTATTCATTCGAATTACACCAATGATGGGGCACTATTCCACCCATAGATACCAACAATGGGACACTATTCTTCCTATAGACACCAATGATGGGGCAATATTCCTTCCCCTGACACCAATGAAAAGGCTCTATTCCTCCAACTGACACCAACAATGGGTACTATTCTGCCTCTAATTGCAAAAATGCACGGTTTACTTCCACTGATGGCAGGACAATTTCTACTCCTACTGGCCACAGCCCAGCCTTGCTAAGGTCTGAAAGGACAGTAAACTGGGCTTTAGTTTTGAAAGATTGGAGACCCCAGACCTAGTATTTTGCAATTTAGTGTAAAGACTCCATTAAGAAAAATCCTTTTATACCCGTTGAAGGATTATATGCGCAAACACAAAGTTGTTTTATATGATTCTAATATTGTGGTAGATTTACTAAAACTGGAGCGTGCAAATTCTGGTGCAGCTGTGCATAGCTGCATACCAATCAGCTTCCAGGTTTTAGGATCCTTTCACACCAATGCGTTTTTTAGTGCTTTTTGCAGAAACGCACTACAGTCCACTTAACATGGCTTCCTATGGAACACGTTCACATTTTTTGAGCCGCAGCGTTTTTAGAAAGGGTCAGGGACTTTTTTAAAAGCAAAAAGCAGAGTTTTTGCTACAATAGAGTTCAATGGAGAATCTGCTGAAATGCATGGTGGTGCGTTGTTGCCACGATTTTGCCACATTTTGTGTTTTGCATTTTTATTCTGCTCAGCAAAAAAAATAAATCCACAAAAAAAAAGAGCTGAGCAAAACGCAGATCGTGGCAAAAACACTGCAAAGCAGACAAAAAGCAAACTGCATAGGTGTGAATGGAGCCTAAGTCCCTGGTCACATCGGGTGCGACTTTGCATACGATTTGCATGCTATGCGACTTGCAAATCACGTGCCAAGTCGCACCCTATTGTCTGCAATCACAGCGGTCATATCGGTGTGCTTCCAACTTGGTCGGAGCCGCACCGATTTCAAAAGTAGCACATGCACTACTTTTGGTGCGATTTGCATAGACATCTGTGTCAGATGTCTTGCAAATCGCACCTTAAATCGGCGGGTCTCCCAACTTTTCAATCGTGCGACTTCACTGTAAGTCGCACGATTTCAAAGTCAGGCTTGATGTGAACGGGGTGTTATTGTCAAAGCTTCATTGAACAAGCTGAAGATAGAAGCTGAGTGGCTACCATGCACAGCTGCACCAGATTCTGCACTCTCCAGTCTTAGTAAATCAACCCACTTTTGCAAAAAAAAAAAAAAAAAAAAAAAAATATATATATATATATATATATATATATATATATATATATATACACATACATACACACACACAATACATACATACATACATATATATACACACACACAATATATATATATATATATATATATATATACACATACATATATATATATATATATATACACATACACAATATATATATACTATATACATACACACATATATATATATATAGAGATATATATATATATATATATATATATATATAGATGTGTATATATATATATATATATATATAGTATGTGTGTATATATATATATATATATATATACACACACACAATGTATATATGTACATATATATATATATATATTTTATATATATATATATATACACACACACACACACTAATATATATATATTTACACACACATACACACGCACTATATATATATATATATATATATATATATACACACACTATATATGTGTATATATATATATATATATATATATATATTTATTTATTTATTTATTGTGTGTGTATTTTTCAAAGACTGTTTTTTAATTTATTATTTAATAATTATCATTACATTTGAGTTGCCATGAATTTTTAAAACCAGCAACACCTTCAAATGTTTACATTTCCACTATGGAAAACTGCTTTTCTTATAGGACTGGGATTGCTGAGTTGGTGATAATGAAGGTGGACCTTCCCACTTGGCAGCTTAGTTTTAGAATATACAAGTGAGGCAAATATCAATTGGTTTAGAAGAGAACATCGAAAAAAAAAAGAAAATACCCAAAATCTTTGAAATGTATATTGTTTGTTTTCAGCAAATATTTACTGATCTTCCTTTATATACGGCTTCAGTTAGTGGGAACAAAAAGAAGTTTGTTCCTGATCTCGATCATTTCATTCCATGTGTACTTACCAGATTCTGCAACTTTTGATATGTCAACCCCCTGCTCTGACGCCATGAACCCCAGGACTGAGAAGACCACGAAACCAGCAAAGAAGCTTGTAGAACTGTTAATAGCAGCCAATATATATGCATCTCTGGGGAGCACAGAAGCAGAATATAAAACAGTTACAAATGGAAAAACTTCTATAGCAGATGATCGAATCAAATAAAGGCAAGAAATGGCAGGTAACCATGACTATTAAAAGGGGTCTTGACATATTTCACCATTTTATCAATCTCAGAACTGCTAATCTGCTGCAGCCTCTTTGGTCACGTCCAGGGGCGGACTGACAACTCATGGGGCCCCCGGGCAATAGGGGATCATGGGGCCCCTGTGTCCTTGCCCAAACTCAAAAAAGCCTATGAAAAAGGTACCAGGGGCATCTCATGGGGCCCCCTACTGACCCCGGGCCCTCGGGCAGTGCCCGAGTTTCCAAATGGTCAGTCCGCCCCTGGTCACGTCCTTTCTACTTGCACTTGCTCCAGCATTGGCTCCATATTATTGGCTCCATGCTATTGACTCCATATTATTGGCTCCATATTATTGGCTCCATACTGTTGGCTCCATACTGTTGGCTCCATATTATTGGCTCCATACTACTGGCTCCATACTACTGGCTCCATACTATTGGCTCCATATTATTGGTTCCAAATTATTGGCTCCATGTTATTGGCTTCATATTATTGGTGCCATATTATTGACTCCATACTATTGGCTTCATACTATTGGCTCCGTATTACTGGCTCCATATTATTGGCTCCATACTATTGACACCATATTATTGGCTCCATAATATTGGCTCCATATTATTGGCTCCATACTATTGGCTCCATACTATTGGCTCCATATTATTGGCTCCATATTATTGGCTCCATACTATTGGCTCCATACTATTGGTTCCATATTATTGGCTCCATATTATTGCTCTACCCCAGCTTTGTGACCAGGCGGGACAAACCCGTGCAATGTGTCATCACAGCAGTATACAGTCTTCATCAGATGAACACTTGACAGGGTGACAACACAAGAACTCAGTTGGGAGACAGGGACAGAGCGTTGTCACCACATAATTGGAAGAGTCTGAATAAGGAAGGGTCTTCACAGCAGGGAGGCACTAGGTATTATTTCGATGAAAGCTGGAGGTTTTAGAAACGTAAAAAATTTTTGAAATAACATGAACATCCTAAAGCTCATACGATATTTTTTTTTTCTGATTGAGTTTGATTCTACTTTATTTTTTTGTAGAATTTGTTTTTTCTTTGCAATAATTATATTTTTATTTGATCGAGCTTTCATAAATTACACGGCGAAAAAAAAACCAAATATATAGAGATGTGCACGACAGAAAATTTTTTTTTTTTTTTTCGTTTTTGTATTCTTTCGTTGAGGTAATAAGTTTTGTTTCATCATATCCATTATCTTAGAACGATTTATTTTCAGAATTTGTTTTCTATATTCAGATTAATTTTGTATATTTGCTCATTTCAAATTGATTTGAAATTAGAATTTCAGAACATGGCTATATTCGTTCTTTCCATTCTATTTTAATCTATTCATTTTTTTTTTTCTATTCTATTCAATTCTATTCTTTTATTTTCTAATCAGGAATCAGGAAGGAATTTTTTTTCCTGCAGGAGCAAATTGAATCGTGCTTTGCTGGGTTTTTTGCCTTCCTCTGGATCAACTATGGGTATAGGATTATAACTTTTTTTTTTTGTTTAATTGGTTTAATTGGATGGACTTTTTTCAGGCAGACTAACTTTGTAACTATGTAACTATTCTATTCTGTTTTATTCCATTGTAATCTATTCTATTGTTTTTATTCTATTATTTTATTTTTCATTCTATTCCTTTATTTTCTAATTTACTCTTTTCTATTACATTCCATTTTTATTCTATTTTATTTTATTCTATTCAGCAGGCTAAGTAGGAATCATCATCTCATTTCACTGTATATATTGCAATATGTTTATAATTCGAATTCAAATACATTTTTTAAATCAAATTCTAATTCATTTTCTAATTTGAATTCATTTTCTAATTCAGACAATTCATTTCTTTATAGTTTATTTCGAATTTGTTGAAATTCTTTGCTACATTGATTCATCTGAATCTCAGAAAATAGAAAAACTTCATCTGAATTTCGATTTGTAACAAAAGGAACTGCACACATGTAAACATATACACCTCTAAATGTTTACAATCGTTTTACAACTGCTGATCTGTCCTGGGCTGTGGACTGAGAAAGTGCCTGTAAATCACCCTTTAAGGATTGCCACATCACTACTGCCAATCCGAGGAGAGCAAAGTTTAATTCATTTCACATCTTTCGTAAACTCGCTGGATTCCTTCCATACCACAAAGAGATGCACAAGTACTAAATCAGGATCTTTAAACATTCTGAGAAAAGGCCTTCCCAACCAACCTATAATATGATTTAAGGAGCCCCTGCCATCGACCTAAAAAAATTACTGGAAAAAATCTAAAAGAAGTACTTGCGTATTTGCAGTGTTTTTCTTTTCCATAAACTTGTTTTATTTATTTGAACTTGCTAGCAAATTTCTTCAGGAAAAGTCAATTTCCTCGCACCCAATCTGCACATCATAGCTTTCCACTCTTTTGAGAGTGTCCAGTTATGCTTTGTGCTGGCCCAGCTCTTTTGCCCCTCCCTGCACCTCCTTTCATATCCTTTTATGTAGCAGCTAGAGGAGTGAAGAGGAATGCTTTAGACCAGTGGTTCTCAACGCAGCCTTCTCCCAGGCCTTCAGCCAGCTACAGGTCTGACCAGGGGCAGACTGAACATTTGGAAACTCGGGCACTGCCCGAGGGCCCGGGGTCAGTAGGGGGCCCCATGAGATGCCCCTGGTACCTTTTTCATAGGCTTTTTTGAGTTTGGGCAAGGACACAAGGGCCCCATGGTCCCCTATTGCCCGGGGGCCCCATGAGTTGTCAGTCCGCCCCTGGACCTGACCTTCCACAGTGACTCCAAGATTCCATAGTGCCCCCCAAGCTGGTCTCATAGTGGTCCACAGTGCCTCCATGCCCCTTGAGAGTGCTCTGCCTTCACAGTGCCTCCCAATCTGCTGCAGATACAACAGCCCTCCATAGTGCCCCTAACTTCCAACATTGTCCCACAGTGCCCACCAACCATCTACAGTACCCCCAACCCTCTCCAGAAACCCAATCCCCTACAGGGCCACCAAGTCTTCTGCAGAGCCCCTCAACCCACTCTACAGCCCCTCTCTTCTACAGCCACATCCAACATTTCAGTGTACCTTTTGCATTCCCATACCTTTATTATGTGAGTATAAGTGTTATTTTTGTGCTGTTGGGGCAAGGATGGTTTTGGAAGAATTTACCAGGCCCTGGTCTTGAAACAGTTGGAAAACTACTTGCTATAGACCAGACTTTTTAAACCAGGGTGCCTTCATGTTTCTTTAAGGGTGTCTTGGCAAAATGCCTAAAAGTTGACCAAAAATTGTATACAAGCCAGGGGGTGATTCAAGCTTCTAGCCACCACTTGCTGTTGGGGCAAGAATGGTTTTAGAAGAATTTACCAGGTCCTGGCCTCGAAACGGTTGGAAAACTACTTGCTATAGAGCAGACTTTTGCAACCAGGGTGCCTTCATATTTCTTTAGTGGTGTCTTGACAAAATTCCTAAAAGTTGACCAAAAATTGTATACAAGCCAGGGGGTGGATCAAGCTTCTAGCCACCACATGCTGTTGGGGCAAGGATGGTTTTGGAAGAATTTACCAGGCCCTGGTCTCTAAATGGTTGGAAAACTACTTGCTATAGACCAGACTTTTGCAACCAGGGTGCCTTCATATTTCATTAGTGGTGTCTTGACAAAATTCCTAAAAGTTGACCAAAAATTGTATACAAGCCAGGGGGTGGATCAAGCTTCTAGCCACCACTTGCTGTTGGGGCAAGGATTGTATTGGAAGAATTTACCAGGCCCTGGTCTTGAAACGGTTGGAAAACTACTTGCTATAGACCAGACTTTTTAAACCAGAGTGCCTTCATGTTTCTTTAGGGGTGTCTTGGCAAAATGCCTAAAAGTTGACGAAAAATTGTATACAAGCCAGAAGGTGATTCAAGCTTCTAGCCACCATTTGCTGTTGGGGCAAGGATGGTTTTAGAAGAATTTACCAGGCCCTGTCTCGAATGGTTGGAAAACTACTTGCTATAGACCAGACTTTTGCAACCAGGGTGCCTTCATATTTCATTAGTGGTGTCTTGACAAAATTCCTAAAAGTTGACCAAAAATTGTATACAAGCCAGGGGGTGGATCAAGCTTCTAGCCACCACTTGCTGTTGGGGCAAGGATGGTTTTGGAAGAATTTACCAGGCCCTGGTCTTGAAACGGTTGGAAAACTACTTGCTATAGACCAGACTTTTTAAACCAGAGTGCCTTCATGTTTCTTTAGGGTGTCTTGGCAAAATGCCTAAAAATGACCAAAAATTGTATACAAGCCAGGGGGTGATCAAGCTTCTAGCCACCACTTGCTGTTGGGGCAAGGATGGTTTTAGAAGAATTTACCAGGCCCTGGTCTCGAAATGGTTGGAAAACTACTTGCTATAGACCAGACTTTTGCAACCAGGGTGCCTTCATATTTCATTAGTGGTGTTCTTGACAAGCCAAAATTAGCCACCACTTGCTGTTGGGGCAAGGAGTTTTGGAAGAATTTACCACCTCAAAACATTGAAAAATACTTCCTATAAGACCATACTTTTGCAAACAGCCTTTAGGGGTGTCTTGGCAAAATGGGGTATACAAGCCAGGGGGGATCAAGCTTCTAGCCACCAGCGTCATAACAACCAATAATTTCATCGACTGATACAAAGTACATCGGGCACCTGCTCAGCATCCTTGTTCTCCCCTCTCCATCAGCATTGGGGTCACATTAGCTGAGCGGGGAGAGAAACTCAGGAAGAAGAGAAACACTGGAAAACTAGTCCATACCACTGTACAACGGTGTGTTTGCCTTGGAAGAATACATAACCTTTTTATTGTTGGGTGTCCAACGTTCTGTATGGTCTCAGGGCTATCTTCCTTGCTTATTTCTAAAAAAAAACTCCTGAAACATTTGCTTATTTTCCATAATTATTAGGAAAAATACAAATATTTGGAAGAAACAGTTAATACAATTTATGTTTGGTGGCCCCTTTATTGGCTTTAGTGCTCAGCACTGGACAAGCCGGAGGGAACGAAACACGTTAGATATAAGTTCATTGGTTTTAAGGATTATAAGTAGCGACATCTAAGGAGACTTCGGAGACTGGGGGGCGAGTGTCACCCTGGAAACGAAGCTTTTAAGACATATTGAGTTTTGATCGTTGTCTTCCTTCATTGCGCACGGACTCACCTGTAGCAGTTATTGTGAAATCTGTTGTAGCTGCCAAGGGCTGTTAGAGCCCCTAACCCAATAGCGTACGAAAAGAAGATCTGCGTTCCAGCGTCTATCCATACCTGGAAGGAAGAGATGGTGTATATTCAATTTGAGCCAACGTTATCTCAAGCCGTGAGCCAAAGCAGATGCCAGAGTCTCTACTCTTTACTCTTTGACGGACCCATGATAAATTATATTCTATGTGGCCTAAAATGTAAGCAACTTAAAAGGTCAGCAATATATATGTTCAGAGGAAGGAAACTGTTTCATTATATTATATATAAACCAGAGCATAATGGATATAAGTGCAGGCCTACATGGAAAGAGAAGGTTAAGCTTTATTTGACATTATTGTATATCAAATCAAAGGGTTCATATGGCAGCCAGAGCAATATTTAGGAAATAGCTGACGTGTTTATACATAAAATGCCGAGCAAGGCTCCAAAAACAGACAGCATTGACTAATTTTCAACTTTCTTCTGCAATGGAAAACAGAAAGCTGGGGTTACAGATTTAAGATTGCCTTGGTCCACTTAAAAGCTGTTCCGCTCTGTTTCTCCAATGCGCTTGAAATGTCCACAGTTACCACGCTCACCAATGATGGCAGGGTAAAGAGATGATTGGTTGGTTGGGACAGGTACCTTGCACCTAATGAATTTTGACTTTCCTGAGCACCCTGCAGATTTCCATAAAAAAAGCTAAATTCAACCCTTTTATAAAATAGATGGGGTCAGTCTTGACACCCATTGAGGTACCACTTCACATGTTACCTTCCCATCACCTAAAATACAGATATGCTTTCCAGGTGAGCATTAGGTGTGAAAGTCCATTACAGTCCTTAGCAGGGCAAGAGTCCATAAATAGTAGTAAATCCATAACTGGTTCCTTCAAATCCATGTAATCCCCCCCTTCCCACTAAGTTCCCGCAAGGGGCGGTCGAGCAACAGAGTGACAGCTTCATTCTTAATGGCAAAAGGCCCCAAGGGACTCAATGAGCCCCTACTTATATAATTTGTCCTGCAAAGGGTGGTATTTTCCTAAAAAAAGCATGGGAAAACCTGTCCAGCAGCGTTAACCCTTGCCCTTCAGGATCAGCCAGCTCAGCAGAGCAAACACAAATTGTAATATAGTAACCTTACATTAGAATGTAGGGTTTTTAAAGGGACATGCAAACAACATCTGGAATATGCAGTTCAGTTTTGGGCACCAATTCACAAAAAGAACATTGGGGAACTGGAGAAAGTACAGAGAAGGGCAACCAAACTGATACGAGGCATGGAGGAGATCAGCTATGAGGAAAGATTAGAGGAACTGAATTTATTCTCTCTTGAGAAGAGGAGAATAAGGGGGATATGATCAGCATGTATAATACATAAGGGGGGATATGATCAGCATGTATAATACATAAGGGGGGATATGATCTCCATGTATAATACATAAGGGGGGATATGATCTCCATGTATAATACATAAGGGGATATGATCACCATGTATAATACATGAGGGGGGGATATGATCTCCATGATATAATACACAAGGGGGGGGATATGATCTCCATGTATAATACACAAAGGGGGGGGATATGATCTCCATGTATAATACATAAGGGGGGGATATGATCACCATGTATAATACATAAGGGGGGATATGATCACCATGTATAATACATAAGGGGGGATATGATCTCCATGTATAATACATAAGGGGGGATATGATCACCATGTATAATACATAAGGGGGGATATGATCACCATGTATAATACATAAGGGGGGATATGATCTCCATGTATAATACATAAGGGGGGATATGATCTCCATGTATAATACATAAGGGGGGATATGATCTCCATGTATAATACATAAGGGGGGATATGATCTCCATGTATAATACATAAGGGGGGATATGATCACCATGTATAATACATAAGGGGGGATATGATCGCCATGTATAATACATAAGGGGGGATATGATCGCCATGTATAATACATAAGGGGGGATATGATCTCCATGTATAATACATAAGGGGGGGGATATGATCTCCATGTATAATACATAAGGGGGGATATGATCTCCATGTATAATACATACGGGGGGGGATGTGATCTCCATGTATAATACATAAGGGGGATATGATCTCCATGTATAATACATGAGGGGGGATATGATCTCCATGTATAATACATAAGGGGGGATATATGATCTCCATGTATAATACATAAGGGGGGGATATATGATCTCCATGTATAATACATAAGGGGGATATGATCTTCATGTATAATACATGAGGGGGGATATGATCTCCATATATAATACATAAGGAGGGATATGATCTCCGTGTATAATACAAATGCATTGAAAACCAATTAATCCGTTCCAGAGGTCAGAAAAAAAGTTTAAAATAGTCTTTTATCTGTTCAAAACTCTTTATAAAGTGCACTTTAAAGGCATAAATACTGTACAGGGACATGATTAAAAATTAATTTGTAAATGCACTGAAAACCAATTAATTCGTTCGTATTGAGAAAACAATTTGTAAACCGAGCCATTATTTTCAATGGATTTTCATTCGTAAACCGATAACTACATTAACCAAGGCTTTCGTAAACCGAGGTACGCCTGTACATTGATTAACAGGGAGCTATAAAAAAGGATCCTACCTTTGACAACACAGTACCCTACCTGATATAGGTACACAAGCAAAGTAAAAGTAAGTTGATCAGTTTCTTACTGAGCAGACAGTGCATAATGGTAGCCTCAAGGGACCATCAAACATGTAGGTACTATCCACCAAGAGGCTTTTTTTCAGAATCTCAGGTATAAACATGCATTTCTGGGTCTTCTGTGCATCCATGTTTAAGAAGCAGAAAGGAAAGAGTACCAGTTAGGCACCTCTTATCTCAGCTGTAACAACGGGGGTTAGTGAGTTCACATATTGCTGTTGGGTAAGAAGACCTGGCTCCCAATTGGTGTTTCAGTTGACCTCCGAAAAGAACACAATGAAACGTCTTTATGGAGCTAGCTATGTACAGTAAACAGGGGCACAGTCATGCTGGAACATAAAAGGGTCTTCACCAAACTGATTGGAAGTACACAATTGTCTAAAATGTCTTTGTACACTGTAACATCAACAGTACCCTTCACTGGAGACTCCTGAACTCAATCATTTGGAGGGGTTTTCACATTCTTTTGGCCATAAGGTGTAGATGCGATGATCAAGTGTCCATAAAAATGTTGCCACATAGCCTATACCATATGATCAGTGCCACGGACACACGGATTGGATTACTCTATTGTACCTACATACCATCATACAACTTCTTGCAATCTCTCACCTGAGCTTCAGCCAGCTTGGACCAGTTAGGCTTGAGATAGTAGACAATGCCATCCAATGCCCCTGGCAGAGTGACTCCGTGGGCCAGGAGGACGATCAGGACCACGTACGGAAACAAAGCTGTGAAGTAGACAACCTGGGGAAAGAAAGTTGTTAATTTCTAGAGACTCCGTGAAGTGAAGAGTAAACTCCAGGCACATAATATAAACACCATTTATTGCATATTATGCGTAAATGTAGCTAGTGTAAAGCCGGCCATCTCTATCTATCCATTCAGTCGTATCCGACCCTTGGCGATTGCATGGACTGTCACTCTTAAGCAACTTTGTCCATGAATTCTCTTGGCAATTATTTTTACAGGGTAGGTTGCCAGGTCTTTCCCCAACCCCCACCATGCAGGAGATCCCACATGGCCAGGGATGAAACTAGGACAATTTAGACAGGAGCCAATTAACCTACCAGCATGTCTTTGAGAGTGTGGGAGGAAACTGGAGTACCCAGAGAAAACCCACGCAAGCACAGGGAGAACATGCAAACTCCATGCAGGAGGTGCTATGGTCAGGAATCGAACCCATGACCCATTTACTGCACGGCAGATGTGATAACCACTAAGCCACTGTGCCGCCCAAAGCTGGCCATACACGGGTCTAATTCTGAAAGAATTTTCTTTCCAAAATCTTTTCTAAGAATTTTCGGTTTGAATTTAGCACCATTAGAGGGTCACAGAAACGGCAGATTTTTGTGTGATCAGCAAATTTGAGTGATCGGGCATGTTGGAAATTTTTTGAAAAACAAACAAATTTCGAATCAATGATGGGAGAATCGTGTGAGAAATATAAAGCCGTGACCTGGAAAGAAAAGAAAATTCTTGGCCACGAAAATTCTTTTCTGTAGCAACAGGAGGAGAAATTGGAAGGTTTGGTTCGTTGATTTTTGAAATCATTGGCGGCACCATCAGATTACAAAACGCACAAAAATTTCCGATTTTCTAAAGAAAATTTCTGATTTTCTAAAGAAAATTAAAGGGAATTCGATCCACAAATGTCCTGCATAAGCCCCGGAATTTAACTTTATTTAAGCCTCTTGTAATCACCTGTGCTATTTTTTTCCCCACAAAAGTGGAGTTGCCCTTTAAAGGATAAATTTCATCTTTTTTTACAAAAAAATAATAAATGCACATTTTTTTTGCAGGCAAAAAAAATGTGCATTTATTATTGTTCGTTTCTGCAGCCTCCAAAGCAGGGGTGTCAAACTAGCGGCCCTCCAGCTGTTGCGAAACTACAAGTCCCATCATGCCTCTGCCTTTGGGAGTCATACTTGTAACTGTCAATCTTGCAATGCCTCATGGGACTTGTAGTTTGGCAGCAGCTGGAGGGCCGCCAGTTTGACACCAGTACTCTAAAACATTGCACCAGCGAACAGCGGATCACTGGTGCCATGCAGGTCTCCTGCAGATCTGTCAGTATATCTGCTTGCTCGTACGGGATGCATGGGCAAGCAGACATACTGACAGTAAGAATCAAAGAACTACCACTGCGCTCCACAGTGCAGTGGTAGTTACATAGATACATAGTTAGTCTGGCTGAAAAAAGACAAAAGTCCATCCAGTTCAACCATAGAAAATAAAAAAAAAAAGTTATAATCCTACACCCACAGTTGATCCAGAGGAAGGCATTGAGAACTACAAGCCAACAGCTGCAAAGGCTGTTAGGACTTGTAGTTCATTCATTCACAGAACACCGTGAGTGAATGAATGACGCGGCTGGGTGGACGGAGCCCCACACGGCCACGTTTTTTCTTTTTGTGACAGCTATCGAGGGGGAGGGGGGACTCTCCCCAGCTAGCTGTCACAACAGGTATCATGGAGGAGAGGTGGAAGGTCCATTCGTAACATGTTGCATGAATATGGGTGTAACATGTTTCGGAAGGTGAACTTTTCCTTTAAATGTATTTAAGTTATTTAATTATTTATTAAATTTATTTCCTTTAAATTCTAATTTGGCAACTATTAAAATTTAGGGCAACAGATTGGAAAGGAAAAGGTCATTTTTTTTCCACCGAAATTTCACGTGGGAAGATTTTACTCATCGAAAGTCGAAAACTACACTTTAACAGAACGACTATAACACAATAAAACGATTCCTGATCAAATGAATTTCACATTTCATTTCCATTTAATTGCACACACGGCATTACACATCTTCCTGGTGTTGTCCCTCTAATGGATGAGCTGGGAGCCGTAATCCTCGGGTTGCAGCGATGGTACTGATGTCATTATCTAAATGAAATCACCGTAGAACACATTTAATGATAATGCAGCCTTCAGAGGCGAGCGTGCTTCACAGCGACGGCTGCAACCAGGCGCACTGCACCCTAAATAAAAACGAGGCTGTCAGGGGGCGACTACAAATCCCAGCATGCCAATGTTTTCTATTGGAGTAGCTCAACACACAAATCACCATTTTTGTAAATCCAATCACTAAAATCTCCTAGATTATCATTTAAAAACGTTTTTCAACATTCCAGCTTTCATCAATAATACCTGATGATGCCGCCATGAAGACCATTATTTAAACACTTTCTGCTATAGGGTGACAAAGCCCAGTTTTGGATTGTTAGCTGTGTTGTCATCTACAACATGCCCTCCCAGGGCTGCTGTTAGAAACCACGGGGGGGCCCCATAAAGCCAACCTGACAGGACCACCCAAATCACGGGGCCCCATACAGCCAACCTGACAGGGCCCTGCAAACCATGGGGCCCCATACAGCCAACCTGACAGGATCCCCCAAACCACGGGGCCCCATACAGCCAACCTGACAGGACCCCCCAAACCACGGGGCCCCATACAGCCAACCTGACAGGACCACCCAAACCACAGGGCCCCATACAGCCAACCTGACAGGACCCCCCAAACCACGGGGCCCCATACAGCCAACCTGACAGGACCCCCTAAACCACGGGGCCCCATACAGCCAACCTGACAGGCCCCCCCAAACCATGGGGACCCATACAGCCAACGCGACAGGACCGCCCACACCACCGGGCCCCATACAGCCAACCTGACAGGACCCCCCAAACCACGGAGCCCCATACAGCCAACCTGACAGGACTCCCCAAACCATGGGGCCCCATACAGCCAACCTGACAAGGCCCCCCAAACCACGGGGCCCCATACAGCTAACCTGACAGGACCCCCCAAACCACGTGCCCCATACAGCCAACCTGACAAGTCCCCCCAAACTACAGAGGCCCATACAGCCAACCTGACAAGGCCCCCCAAACCACGGGGGCCCCATACAGCCAACCTGACAGGACCCCCCAAACCATGGGGCCCCATACAGCCAACCTGACAGGGCCCCCCAAACCATGGGGCTCCATGCAGCCAACCTGACAAGGCCCACCAAACCACGGGGCCTCATACAGCCAACCTGACAGGGGCCCCCCAAACCACGGGGCCCCATACAGCCAACCTGACAGGACCCCCCAAACCACGGGGCCCCATACAGCCAACCTGACAGGACCCCCCAAACCACGGGGGCCCCATACAGCCAACCTGACAGGAACCTTCCCCCCAAATAAACCCCACAGTTCATTTTACTTATGAACTACAGTTAAGAATGAACACAATGAGTGATCGGTACAGATTGCTCATTGTGTTAATTCAGGACTGGAAGGGGCTGGTAAATGTGACGTATTTACGGAAACCTTCCCCCACTCTCCATCCTGAAGGATCCTATAATCTTAGTGCCTGCAGATGCCGGTGCAAAGGAGGGTAGCAGGCAGCACTGCGGGGATGGGGGGCACGCAAGGGGGCTTGAGCAGCAGGAGGAAATATATGGTGCACAAGGAGGGTGATGTGGGGCAATTACTGTTTGTTTTGTTTTTTTCTGAACGATCCAGGTTATGACTTTTTTTTTCTTTTGGCAAGTGGTATAATAACTTTTTTTTTTGTGCGATAAAGACTTACGATTTTTCCTTTTTTTCAGCTTAATTATCATTGTTTGTTTTGTTTTTTTAAACAATCCAGAAAATACATTTTTTGGATGTGCTATAGTAACTTTTTATTTTGCTTGTACAATAAAGATGTTGTAATTTAAATTTTTCTTTCTTCATTTTTTTTTTTCTGTTACAAAGATAATTGCCCTGTTTTGACCAACCCCTGATGCATTCCTCCCCGCACACCGAGGGCTTGATCTGTGATCAAGCCCCGGTGGGTGGGGCGAAATGCGTCAGGGATGTGGCTGGAGGGGCAGCTGAGGCCAACGTTCTTACCGAGTTTATTGGGTTGGTCTGAGCCAGGGGCGGACTGACAACTCTTGGGGCCCCCGGGAAATAGGGGATCATGGGGCATCTGTGTCCTTGCCCAAACTCAAAAAAAGCCTATGAAAAAGGTACCAGGGGCATCTCATGGGGCCCCCTACTGACCCGGGCCCTTGTGCAGTGCCCGAGTTTCCAAATGGTCAGTCCGCCCCTGGTCCGAGCAGTTTATCTTCTTCTTACATTTACACTCCTGGATTGTGTTGAAACTCCGGCTCTCACTCACTGCGTACTGGCGGGGTATCTCTATGCGGTCTGGCTACATAATTTATTTCTATTTATTTAGGTAATGCTCTACGATTTTTTTTCACTCAAGAAAATAAGAAAACAATAAAGATATTATTTATGATAAAGTAGTTATTTGATACAGTTGACTTCCATGATAACGAAAAAAAAAAAATAATAACTGGAATCAATTTATTGAATAAGATCTCTGAAGACTGACAGGTCCTCTTCAGAACAGTAATGTTAGGGCCCTACGTCTATGGCTGGCGTGTGCTGGTATCTTGCATGTATCCGTGCTTCTTACTACCCATGTTCGCCTGTTTTATTTGAGATACACATTAGTATTGGAGGGAGAGCTGCAGAGATTAAACTCTGACGCGGTTTGATTAAACTGCCTGTCCGGTGCAATCAGCCGTGCGAGGAGAAGTGGAGAGGGGCGGGACACGTGACCCACATGGCAATCAGCGCTGAGAGCTGAAAACGGTCCCCTCGGGGAGATGTGGAGAGACAGCAAGGAGAGAGCCTTCATCACATATCCGGCTGTACTTTCCCTACCGCCGCTCAGACTGATGCCCAGCGGGGATAGAGCTGCCACCTTTTCTGAGAAAAAAATTCAAGCCTTATGATTGCTTTCCTACTAATTAAAATTATGTAAAATTTTGGCCAGGTATCTCTAAGCTGGCAGAGGGTCATAGCTAAGGTCTCATTCAAACGGGCCTCTTGATGACTCCTTTTCTGGAGGTTAAAAAATAATGGTTTTATGATTGCTTTCCTATTGATTAAAATTAGGTAACATTTTGGGCAGGTAATTCTAAGCTGATGTAGCAGAGTTTCTCAACCAGGGTTCCTACAGGCATTGCTAGGGGTTCCTTGAGTGATGAGCAATTTCTGCCTCTCAGATAAGTTCCCACTGACACCATTGATCTTTTTAGCTATCTGTAAAGGGGTAACTCTTTCCAATGGCCAATGAGTTGCAGATATAGTTGTATTGTAGAACATTTTTTCATGGGTTCCTCTGTGTTGAAAAGGTTGAGAAAGGCTGTGGTATGGAGTCAAGCCTCATTCACATGGACATCCTGCTGCCACCTTCTCTGAGAAAAAAAAATACCGGCTTTATGATTGCTTTCCTATTAATAAACATTTGGTAAAATTTTGGCCAGGTATCTCTAAGTTTTCTCAACCAGGGTTTCATGAAACCCTAGGATCCTTCAGAAGTTGTCAGGGGTTCCTTGAGCAACTTCTGTCTCTAACATAAGTTCCCACTGACGTCATTGATCATTTTAGCTATCAGTAAGGGGGGAATTATTTCCAATGACCACAAGTGTAAGAAGCATCCTTCCCACTGACCATCACACTAAAGTATCATGAGTTGTAAATATAGTAACTTTTAGCCAGGGTTCCCAGAGACCGGAAAGTTCTTTCAAGGGTTCCTCTGTGTTTACAAGGTTGAGAAAGGAGGTATCTCTAAGCTGGCATAAGGTCATAGCTAAGGCCTCATTCAAATGGGCCTCTTGATGCCCCCTTTTCTGGAGGTTAAAAAATAATGGCTTTATGATTGCTTTCCTATTGATTAAAATTAGGTAAAATTTTGGGCTGGTAATTCCAAGATGATATAGCAGGGTTTCTCAAGCAGGGTTCCTCCAGAGGTTGCTAGGGGTTCCTTGAGCAATGAGCAATTTCAGCCTCTCAGATAAGTTCCCAATGACACCACTGATCTTTTTAGCTCTCTGTAAGGGGGTAACTCTTTCCAATGGCCACAAGTGTAAGGAGAATTCTTCCCACTGACCATCGCACTAATGTGTAAGGAGTTGCAGATAAAGTTGTATTGTAGAAAAATTACTGCATGAAAAGAATACCGAGCTTATGGTGGCTTTCCTACTAATTAAATTAATTTCCTAATAATTCAAAAAGTTTTGCTTTTAGATAAACTTTAACAAAGGAAAATATGTACATTTTGTGATGGAAATATTGGTGCATTTCCCATACACCTTAAGACAGGGCTTGAATAAGCCACTCGCCCGCTCGCCAAATGGGAGGAGAAATTCCTCTGTGGCAAGCGGCGAGCAGCAAGCACAGATGAAGCATGGAGCGACTGCCCCTGCGCTCCAAGCCTCATTGTGAAGCCGAGTTACGGTTTACAACTTCCGGTTTCCGGCTTCCGCGGCACCGCCGCCGAGGGGACAGGTGCAGGAGAGGTCCGCTCTACTCTGCTGAGAGGAGACACCATCTCCACCACCGCGGGGGACTCGGAGGGACTAGGAGTAAGTACTGTATACAAGATGTCATATCACTATAATGGCGTACAGGGGAGCTGGGATATACATTACTGAGTATATAGTGATATGACATGTATACAGTAATGTATATCCCAGCTCCCCTGTACTCCATTATAGTGATATGACATGTATACAGTAATGTATATCCCCCCTCCCCTGTACTTCATTATAGTGATATGACATGTATACAGTAATGTATATCCCCCTCCCCTGTACCCCATTATAGTGATATGACGTGTATACAGTAATGTATATCCCCCTCCCCTGTACTCCATTATAGTGATATGACGTGTATACAGTAATGTATATCCCCCCTCCCCTGTACTCCATTATAGTGATATGACATGTATACAGTAATGTATATCCCCCTCCCCTGTACTCCATTATAGTGATATGACGTGTATACAGTAATGTATATCCCCCCCCCCCTCCCTTGTACTCCATTATAGTGATATGACGTGTATACAGTAATGTATATCCCCCCCCCTCCCTGTATTCCATTATAGTGATATGACGTGTATACAGTAATGTATATCCCAGCTCCCCTGTACTCCATTATAGTGATATGACGTGTATACAGTAATGTATATCCCCCCTCCCCTGTACTCCATTATAGTGATATGACGTGTATACAGTAATGTATATCCCAGCTCCCCTGTACTCCATTATAGTGATATGACGTGTATACAGTAATGTATATCCCCCCCTCCCTTGTACTCCATTATAGTGATATGACGTGTATACAGTAATGTATATCCCCCCCTCCCCTGTATTCCATTATAGTGATATGACGTGTATACAGTAATGTATATCCCCCTCCCCTGTACTCCATTATAGTGATATGACGTGTATACAGTAATGTATATCCCAGCTCCCCTGTACTCCATTATAGTGATATGACGTGTATACAGTAATGTATATCCCCCTCCCCTGTACTCCATTATAGTGATATGACGTGTATACAGTAATGTATATCCCCCCCTCCCTTGTACTCCATTATAGTGATATGACGTGTATACAGTAATGTATATCCCCCCCTCCCCTGTATTCCATTATAGTGATATGACGTGTATACAGTAATGTATATCCCCCCTCCCCTGTACTCCATTATAGTGATATGACGTGTATACAGTAATGTATATCCCAGCTCCCCTGTACTCCATTATAGTGATATGACGTGTATACAGTAATGTATATCCCCCTCCCCTGTACTCCATTATAGTGATATGACATGTACACAGTAATGTATATCCCCCTCCCCTGTACTCCATTATAGGGATATGACATGTATACAGTAATGTATATCCCCCCTCCCCTGTACTCCATTATAGTGATATGACATGTATACAGTAATGTATATCCCCCTCCCCTGTACCCCATTATAGTGATGACATGTATTCAGTAATCATTACAACAATCTATATCCGGTGCATTACTTCTCAACACGTTTCGCCTATTTTAAGGCTTCTTCAGGAGCTATTGAATATAGCACCTACAACAATAAATCATGCAAATTACACAAATTTCCTTTGTATCCCTCCTCTCTTCTCTTGCATCGTGTATTTTTAAACACTTGCTACTCATATTCCTGATGCCGGTCCCTAATTTTTCCATTTTTAGAATCCTGCGTATTGGCTGCATCCCTGTAAAATGAAACTGACGGATTTACACTCAGTTATTGACCTCCATGCCTAGATAGTGGTGCCGAAAAAATTATTAAACAAGACCAGATTTCTAGAGCAGGTTGGAGAAGCCATTAATCTCGTTTGCCATTAGTAACACAAGACTATTTTCTGATGTCTATATATGAGCTCAGTCTTATCGTTACGTTACCTTTCCAGTCGATTTCACGCCCTTCCAGATGCAGAAATAGACAATGATCCACGTGGCCAGGAGGCAAAGTATCATCTGCCAGTTCAACTGCCCAGGCTCATTCAGACCTCCGGAGAGCTGCAGCACCTTATTCCTGCAGAAGAAAAACAACAATAGGCTTTAGGTCCCATGTCAACCGAATTTGGGCCAAAACCAGTTCCCTAAATTCAAAAATAGGTTTTTGGGCCTGTGTTAATGGCATTATGTCATCATCAGTTTGAGTGCCTTGATACAGAAACTGCATATTTCATATTTCCTTGGTAAAATTGTCTCACAATATCTAAGAAAGCCGCAAATATCCTGGCTACCTTAGCTGACTTCATACCAAAAGAATGTCATTACAAACTGAAGAAGTCCTTAAAATGTCATGTTGCTCTAAAGGGGGATAGGTTGGCCATTCCTTACATTCAAGTCCTGTATATACTACAGCTATAACTTGGAATATTCGGTCTTGTATCGGAGCTGCTATCATGCACATGTCTGCTTCTGATCATCTGTGCCACGCTGAAAAAGCGGACGGGACTCCGTGGCAAAAAGGCATCTTTAGTTAAGTATTCTTGATATATTTTCTAATTTTAATTAATTCTTTTTTATCTGTATCTGTCATTACGTAATTAAATGTTACAAGTGTTCTTGTGATCTCTCTTTGCACATCTCGAATACAACCCCCAAAAATGTAAAGTATCACATAACAGCGAAAAAATAGTGTCTTCTGAGATCACTGACAACTCACTGGCAAGTTGACCTCCTTCTGACCAGCATTGGACCTGCTTCAAGGGGGTTTTGTATTCCAATAGGCTTTTATGGAAATGCATAGCCTATTCGAAGCCAACCAAAACTGTCAACTCAAGTCCTTTGACCCTAGGTTCACAGATGTGCAGGTGGTGCGGCTACATTCTAAAAAAAAACAGACTATAAGGGTTCATGTACACGGGGCCTTTGGAAAACTCTTCTGACCGCTGGAAAGTGACTGCTGGAAAACGTAGGTTATAAAACGTCAGTTTATCCGCGTTTGCATTTAGAAGCATTTTTAAAAGATAACCTCAGGAGACCTTCCCAAATGCCCAGAATGGGGCCCAGGGTCAGTAGAAGGCCCCACGAAATGCCCCTGGTACCTTTTTATAGGCTTTTTTGAATGTGGGCAAGGACATAGGGGCCCCATGATCCCCTATTGCCCGGGGGCCTCATGAGTTGTCAGTCCGCCCCTGTCCATAAGACGCAATTTATTCCCCCCAAAAAGTGGGGGAAAATGTCTGTGCGTATTATGGAGCAAATATGGAGCAGCACAGACTGGTATTTCCACCGCCGCTGTGTTAGAATACCGGGCCGGCTGCTCGGCTCTACTGTGTAGAAGAAACTGCTTCTCAGTCCTACCTGTTCCTCGGTCCAGCGGTGTCCTACTTTCATCGGCCATCTTCTCTCCCCGGCACCAGCATCTTCAGTGTGGGCTCCCGGCTGTGACAGCTTGCGGCTTCACAGCCAGGTGCCCACTGCGCATGCGCGAGAAGCGCTGCACTTTGTGAATGGCCACCTGTAGTCTTCTGGGACCTGTCACGTGTCCCACAAGACTATGGGGAGGACAGCTCCGCAGAAGTGTGTTGAGGTCAGGGGCGGACTGACAACTCATGGGGCCCCCGGCAATAGGGGATCATGGGGATCCTGTGTCCTTGCCCAAACTCAAAAAAGCCTATGAAAAAGGTACCAGGGGCATCTCATGAGGCCCTCTACTAACCCCGGGCCCTCGGGCAATGCCCGAGTTTCCAAATGGTCAGTCGGCCCCTGGTTGAGATGACCTGTCTTTTCTGGTTGTATTCACTATGGATCCCATCATGAGCATAATGCGGCGCGTTCTACCATTTTTTCCTTCACGCGAAACCTGGAACTGACTGCGCTGGTGTATCGGGTCAATTTGAATACATGGAGAACACTATGCGTGAATTTTTTATGAAGAAAAAAGGCTCTGGACCGCATCTGGATATGGAGCTGTCAAAAAACACGTCTAAACGCAAATGCTTGTAAATGCAGTTAACCACGGTTACAAGCATTTGGCATTTGAAACGCGGGTAAAATCTACTTCTGAACGCAAGTTTGGAGCGTTCAAAAAAAACGACTGTAAACGCAACTGCCTGTAAACGACTGTAAACGATGATGTGTACATGGACACATAGGAAAACATTAGGGAGAGTTCAGGGGCTGCTGAAAAAAATGCTGAACAGCTCCTGAGCATCAGTTTAGCAGCTGCAGTGTATATGGAGCCCTAAAATGTTTCACGCCTTTTGTTCTGATCAGGGGTGGACTGACAACTCATGGGGCCCCTGGGCAATAGGGGATCATGGGGCCCCTGTGTCCTTGCCCAAACTCAAAAAAGCCTATGAAAAAGGTACCAGGGGCATCTCATGGGGCCCCCTACTGACCCCGGGCCCACGGGCAGTGCCCGAGTTTCCAAATGGTCAGTCCACCCCTTGTTCTGATTTGCCTGAATGGTACTGAACTGATTTAAACTGAAATCCTGGATTTTAAAATAAACACTCTTGGACTGGAACTGATTTCTCCTGCAACTCAAAAAATCCATACAGGGCTGTATATGACATGCAGTCATGGTCAGGGGTGGACTGACCACTGGGGAACTCGGGCACTGCCCGAGTGCCCGGGGTCAGTAGGGGGGGCCCCATGAGATGTCCCTGGTACCTTTCATAGGCTTTTTTGGGTGTGATTTGAGTTTGGGCGAGGACACAGGGGCCTCATAATCCCCTATTGCCCGGGGGCCCCATGAGTTGTCAGTCTGCCCCTGGTCATGGCGATAGTATGGGGATGGATGAATGCAAAGACAAAAGAGCCAAATGACAAAAAAGTGGAAATGCACCACCAAGTAACAATAAAACAAAATATATTGTCTTTCATACTCACTCCCAGAACTCGATGACCGGTGATCTCTTGTTCAGGAGAGCATCACAGCTGATATTGTGCGTGGTGCTGAAGCCGGTAGCATTGGCTGAAGTCACGTTGGAGCACTGGTCTAGTAGGAAGACTTCGGTACACTCCTTGGTGTTCCAGGGATGTCCACAGGTGGCCCAGGGCAGGGTGTTAGTGAAGGAGTGTACCAGGTAATAGAGGCCCCAGACCAGGATCATAATGTAGTACGTGTTGCAGAAGAACACAATCACCATCGAGGCAAAGCCAAGACCTGCCGGACATAAAAAAAACCCCAAAACAAAACGGAATATTAGCGCTGTAGAAAAAAAATGCTAACAGACTAACTAATAATGCCGTGAAAATGCTGATTAAAGCCATTACAAATATGTAGTAAAGCCCAACTTTAGCCGAAACCTTTTCTTGGTTTTAGATAGAGAAGGTAATGGGGTTAGAGCTTCTGTCAGGTTTCAAATGCTGTCTGTTTTCATTACATTTGCAAATACTGTATATGTAAAGCCAGGGCCGTGGATAAGGGGGAACCACCAGTCCTCCTGTACGGGACCCAGGCCAACAGGGGCAGCACAGTGGCTAAATGGTTAGCACATCCACCTGGTAGTACCATGGTCATTGGTTCAAATCCTAATCATGGCACCACCTGCCTGGAGTTTGCATGTTCTCCCTGTGCTTGCAAGTGTTTCATTTGGGAACACCAGTTTTCTCCCACACTCCAAAGACATGCTGGTAGGTGAATTGGCTCCTCGTAGTCATCAACATGTGAAAGTCACCTCCACCAGAAGAATTGGAAGCTCACCTTTAACCCCTAGATACTGAGCGCACACAAATATGTGGCCTCTCAGGATCTGGGCCTTGATGCCCTCCCAGCACATATTTCCGTGACTCACGGAAAGGTTGCGATCAGGACCTCTTCCAATCATGTGATAGTGAATCACAATGGTCACAAGACCCTAAAACCCCAGCTTTTGAAACCTCTTAAAGGGCCGGGAGGTGCTGGCACAAAGGGGTTAAGAATTGAATCCTGAACCAACAGGTAGTCAAAGGACAGCACAATGGCTAAATGGTTAGCACTTCCACCTGGCAGTACTCAGGTTGTTGGTTCAAATCCAAACTACAGCACCACCTGCCTGGAGTTTGCATGTTGTGCCTGCAGGGGTTTCCTCCAGTTTCCTCCCACACTCCAAAGACATGCTGGTAGATGAATTGTTTCCTGTCTAAATTGTCCCTAGTATGTGTATGTATGAATGTAAGTTAGGGACCTTAGATTGTATGCCCCTTGAGGGTTAGGGACTTTGTACGCCCCTTGAGGGTTAGGGACCATAGATTGTCTGCCCCTTGAGGGTTAGGGACCTTAGATTGTATGCCCCTTGAGGGTTAGGGACCTTGTACGCCCCTTGAGGGTTAGGGACCTTAGATTGTATGCCCCTTGAGGGTTAGGGACCTTGTACCCCCCTTGAGGGTTAGGGACCATAGATTGTATGCCCCTTGAGGGTTGGGGACCTTAGATTGTACGCCCCTTGAGGGTTAGGGACCTTGTACGCCCCTTGAGGGTTAGGGACCTTAGATTGTATGCCCCTTGAGGGTTAGGGGACCTTAGATTGTACGCCCCTTGAGGGTTAGGGACTGATGTGAATGTACAATATATATGTAAAGCGCTGCGTAAATTGACAGCACTATATAAGTACCTGTAATAAATAAATAAATGCGCTTCCCCTTTAAGGCCATATGGAGACTCCAGGTCTTATTCTTCCTCTTTCCCATACAATCTCAGCAGTGTTAATCCATCATAAAACAACAAAAAAAGAGCCCATAGTGTTCTCCATATAAAAATATTTAATAAAAGAAGTGGAAATACCCTAAAATACCCTACAATACAGGGCACTCCACTGTGCAGGTTTGTACATTGCCACAATCTGACAAGATGGCCGCGGGATGACGTTATGTGCGTGGCTCCCCCCACTTACACATGTATCGTCCAAAGGCGAGACTTCCTCAGTAGGCCTCCCTCATCTCGCAAGAGATGGGCGATGCAGCTGCGGGTGGTTGTGGGTGCGGGAATCGCATGTAGTGTGAGCCTAGCCTATTTGTCCCATTTACTGTTATCATTGAAAGAGAAAGTAAAAGAAAATCCTACATTTTGGATTGTCCCAGGAAACGTAATAGAGGGGAAATCTTCCACTAGTTCTGATGACCTGGGGGTCCCTAAGGGATTCCCTTAACTTTCTGGATTTCCTCTCACTTCCTGTTGGAATACGGGACAGAACGTAAAGGAATATCTCCAAAATGAGACACAGATGGTGAAAAAAAAGCTGATGGGTTATAACTCTCTCTTGCTCTATCCTAAATGGAAAAAAAAAAAGTTTTTGTCCATAGTTCTACTTGAAGTCTTTTCACTTTTGCAATTTTGGGAGGTGAGAATGCCGAAATAAGTCAAATCATTTTCATTCATCCCTACATAGTTACATAGTAAGTCAGGTTGAAAATAGACACACGTCTCCATACTTTCTAAACAAAGGCCCAGTTTATTGTTCTTCAGACTTTAGGGGGAACCGGACTGTGGCCAGCAGGATTCGATATTTTCCTGGCATCAGTGGGAGTAAGCATCGCCACATTCAGTATTAGGGGGGGAGTATTCATGCCCCATCACTAGTATCATTGGCAGGAATAATGCCCAATTGACATTATTCCACCCAATGATACCAGTGATGGGGCACAAATACTTCCAATTGGTGTCAGTGGAGAAATGGTGACCTTTTTTGTTGGTATCAGTTGGCAGAATAGTGTGTCTTATCAGTCTACGGAATAGTGCCCTAAGGGCCGGTTAAAGGCAAGCAAAGGGCCACATCTGGCCCCAGAGCTGCAATTTGAAGACCACTGATATACAGAATATTATACCCACAGTTGATCTAGAGCAGGGTTTCTCAACCAAGGTTCCTCCAGAGGTTGCTAGGAGTTCCTTGAGCAATTTCTGCCTCTCAGATAAGTTCCTTCTGACCCCATTGATCTTTTTAGCTCTCTGTAAGGGGGTAATTCCTCCCAATGACCACAAGTGTAAGGAATATTCTTCCCATTGACCATCACACTAATGTATCATGAGTTGGAGATAACGGGGAAAAGTTTGCAGAATAGTGTGTGTCCTATCAGTCTACGGAATAGTGCCCCAAGGGCCAGATAAATTGACATTATTCCACCCAATGATACCAGTGATGGGGCACAAATACTTCCAATTGGTGTCAGTGGAGAAATGGTGACCTTTTTTGTTGGTATCAGTTGGCAGAATAGTGTGTCTTATCAGTCTACGGAATATTGCCCTAAGGGCTGGTTAAAGGCAAGCAAAGGGCCACATCCAGCCCCAGGGCCGCAATTTGGAGACCACTGGTATACAGAATACTATACCCACAGTTGATCTAGAGCAGGGTTTCTCAACCAGGGTTCTTCCAGAGGTTGCTAGGAGTTCCTTGAGCAATTTCTACCTCTCAGATAAGCTCCTTCTGACCCCATTGATCCTTTTAGATCTCTGTAAGGGGGTAATTCTTCCCAATGACCACAAGTGTAAGGAATATTCTTCCCATTGACCATCACACTAATGTATCATGAGTTGGAGATAACGGGGAAAAGTTTGCAGAATAGTGTGTCCTATCAGTCTACGGAATAGTGCCCCAAGGGCCAGATAAAGGCAAGCAAAGGGCCACATCCAGCCCCAGGGCCGCAATTTGGAGACCACTGGTATACAGAATACTATACCCACAGTTGATCTAGAGCAGGGTTTCTCAACCAGGGTTCTTCCAGAGGTTGCTAGGAGTTCCTTGAGCAATTTCTGCCTCTTAGATAAGTTACTTCTGACACCATTGATCTTTTTAGCTGTCTGTAAAGGGGTAATTCTTCCCAATGACCACAAGTGTAAGGAATATTCTTCCCATTGACCATCACACTAATGTATCATGAGTTGGAGATATAATAATTTTTAGCAGGGGTTCCCAGAGACCGCAAAGTTATTTCAAGGGTTCCTCTCTGTTGAAAAGGTTGAAGAAGGCTGCTCTATACAGTTCCTACAGTTTCTGCACACCTACCGAGAGATAATCCATTGGAATGCCACCTTGGGGGCTTTCTGAGCATAAAAGTGTCTTTTCTGTTTCCACACATTTTATCAATTATCTTGAGAGGGGAAAAAAAAAAAAAAAGATAACGGGGAATAGTTTATAATAATATTTGATGTACCCAATAGTTTTCACATTCTATAAACTGCCAGGGTCCTCACACAGCATGACAGCAGAGTAATTAGATGTCTGTGAGTGGCGACAGGCCGGGGAAGATAATATTTTCCTTGTGAAGAAGGAGTACATTGTCTAAGTTACCAGCAGAGATGAACAAATCAGACCACTTGTTGGCAAATGGAAAACATTTTTGATTTTCCAAAATTTATTCTTTCTGCCAGATCAGTAGAAAATCAGTTTATTAATCACCATTGTGAATCTGAAAATCTTGGAGACTGCAAAACAATTAAGCAATTTAATATCTCAATATTCATCATTATCCACTTGCCGTCCGCCTGCTGTTTATAAACGGCAGGGCGGTGGGGTGGCAGTGCAGGGGCGGGTTGCCGTTCATAAATGGCACCTGCCTTTTCTAGCTGTGCGCGATCCCTGGTGATCTTGCGCGATCCAGTGCCCGCTGTGTCCTCCGGACACAGTGATACACCAATCGTCGGACGGGACCTCGTCATGTAATCACTGATTGGCCAATCAGTGATCACATGCAAAGCAGTAAGCAAGATGTCACTTGTGATATCATTGCTTACTACGTGTGAAATCTGTGAATGATCACAGAGGTCACATGGTACAAGGCTATTCACAACAGCCTTGTACCATGTGACAAGCTGTGACCAATCACAGCTCACTCAGTACTTCTCAATGACTGCAAGAATGCAGACAGAGAGAAAGAGAAATGATTGCTTTTACATCCTGTATGGGTGTAAAAGCAATCAGTGTAAAAAAAAAAAAAAAAAATCTTCATCACCCCCCACAAGTAGTACAGTGTCACCATGGTGACACTGTACTGCTAGGGTGACAGTATGTAAAAAAAAAAAAAAAAAAAATAAAATAAAAAATAATAATAAAAAAAAAATAAAAAAAATAAAAATGTAAACAAAATGTTTAAAAATTATAATTTTTGGTTATAAACTAATTTTGATTTTTTGTTTTTGCTAAAAAAATAACGGAATCAATTTTGGCCAAGATTTAGGATGAAATATTATTTATTTGCAAAATTTTATTTAAAAAAATGTTTCAAAATTTTTGGACGTTTTCATTTACTTAGCAAAAAAAATAAAAATCCCAGCGGAGAATAAATACCACCAAAATAAAGCTTTATCTGTCTCAAAAAAATGGTAAAAAATTTACATGGGTACAGTATTGCATGACTGCGCAATTGTCATTCAAATTGTGATAGCACTGAAAGCTGAAAATTGCCCTGGACAGGACGGGGGTAAAAGTGTTCGGACAGGAAGTGGTTATATTTGGAATATTGAATAAGTCATCAATTTACTGATTTAGCTTTTTGGTGAATCGATTAGATCAGTGGTGTCCAAACTGTGGTCCAAGGGCCGAATGTGGCCCTTTGCTAGCTTTATCTGGCCCTTGGGGCAGCATTCCTCTGACATCAACAGTGGGGCATAATTCCTGCCCTGACACCAACAATGGGGTATTATTCTTCACACTAATACCAATGATGGAGCACTACTCCTCCTGTTTCTGACCACCAACCCCTAGGCCGTGTTTTATTTTCACTAATGCTGGGCCCAGGACATTTTCTACCCCCTGGCCACAATCTGGCCCCCAAAAGTCTGATGGACAGTAAATTGGCCCTTTGTTTGAAAAGTTTGGAGACCCCTGGATTAGATCATCCTTTTCAGATTCGTAAAATTAAAACAAATCAAGTGTCAATTTATACAATGTAACACCACCAACTTCATTTTAACCTCCCTGGCGGTATGATTATGTCAGGAATTTTGTACCAAAAGCGGTACCATTTTTTTGCATGGAAATTTGGTGTTATGTATTGTAGGCCTGCAATTCTTAGTAATTATTTACTTAATAAATACTCATAAAAAATAATAATATAATAATAATATATTTAATTCAATAATATAATCAAACCAAAAATCACTGAAATGTGAAATATAGCGCCAAGTTCGCACATCGCTGAGCTCAGTCGCAGAATCGTTTTCAGTGTCTGATGAGGAATTTCCCCCACGAATCATTATCACTCAATTCTGCAAGTGGTTCTGATTTACTATCGCTGTTCTCTAGCCGGTCTAAAACCTCTTTTGACCTAAAGGGACGCTTTTTGGACGCCATGGACGTTTCTCAGTTTCCAGGCAGAAAGAACAGTAAAAATGCAGGCAGGGCGCCGGACAAAGCACTCGGGACAAACTGTATGTGAAATGCTTTGATACAGGAATGTTTTGCTGTGAAATAATCGTTTTTAAAAAAGTAATTTTTTAAATTTTCAAATTTGACGCCGGTTCCAGCGCCTGTGCGTCCTGATGTCACAGGGACCGGAACACGGAAGCCAGATGCCGGCATCGGCCGGAGGAGATGGCCGGGGACGCTGCAGGGGACGCATCTCGGTAGCGAAGGACAAGTTAAGTGCTGTAGGGAATCCCTGAGCAACGCCGCATGGTAGCCCGAGTGTAGCTCGGGGTTACCGCTTTTGGTACTGAAACTTTACCCCGAGCTACACTCGGGAATACCGCCAGGGGGGTTAAGCCCTCGTGCACACTTGACGTTTTTACAGCGGCTGTTTTTGGCGTTTGACTTTTTTTTTCTACAGTCAATAAACCCCCCAGCATTTTATCCTATGTGTCCGTGCACACATAGGCTGTAATCAACATTTTTTGGCTGGAAAAAAACCCAAAACTAGTGGGTTTCTAGAGGAGTTTTTCAGCTGTAAAAATGCTCTAACACTGAAAAACGCGGCAAGACACTGCAAACCAGCTTTGTTTAACCTTTTTTTGACCAAAAAATTTTTTTGTGGGTAACAAAAATGCTAAAAACCACAGACGCAGCAAAACGCTAATGCAAGAACACTAATAAAAAGCTGAAAAACAGGACTTTACACAGCTAACGTTACCAGTGTTATCAAAATGTCCCGTGTGCATGAGGGCTTAGTCATACTACCCAAACTGCCATTGTTATTTTTGGATAGTTTTATTGGCCGAATGTTGCCGCCATCTTAACTGGTAATTGCATTCTCATAATTAAAAATACAATTTTAAAAAAATGTAACACCTATTTTTCTTTTTTTTCTTTTTTAAAAGAATGGAAAAGAATTGAGAAAGGCTAGTTTATAATAATATTTGATGTACTCCCAAGTTTTCACATTCTCTGAACCGTCAGGATCCACACACAGCACGGCAGCAGACTAATTAGATGTCTGCAAGGTGATGACAGACGGATAGAGATAATATTTTTCTTACGAAGAATGACTACCTTGTTTAAAGTTACGAGCAAAGGTGGAAAAAAAAAACAAATCCTACATCTGCAAGCGTTTTTTGATTTTTCAAAATATATTTAATAAAATATATAACACAATAAAATATAAATTAATAGCTGATAAAATGCAATCAAATATGTAGTAGTGAAAAATCAGTTTATTATTGTGAAAACTCAGTTTATTTATTGCCGTTAACAACCTAAAAATCTCAGATACTGCAAACAATCATGCAATTTGGGATTTCATGATTAATCTCTATATTTAGGGGAAATTTAAATATCTGCTAAATTACCATTCTATAGCTTAACTGATTGGATAATCCCTGTTCATTTCTTAAAGCAGAACTCCAGTTCAAATTTTTTTTCTTTTTTAGCGGGCAGTGGGGCTGTGCCCTCATTGCATGGACTGGCTGCTTGTTTAAGCCGAAAGGACCGGTCTTGTGGGGGGGGGGGGGGGGGGGGGGGGGGGGGGAAGGGCGGGTCAGGTGAGTGTATTTTCTAGATCTAAATATTTGGATCTAGAAGATATAAAGGAGCCTGAGAGTGTACAGCGACACTCACCGGCCACGGTCCACCTTGCTAGTGCCAAAAAAAATCTCCCCCACACCATTACACCACCAGCCTGAACCATTGATAGAAGGTAGGATAGATCCTGCTTTCATGTTGTTTATGCCAAATTCTGACCCTACCAGGGGCGGACTGACAACTTATGGGACCCCCGGGCAATAGGGGATCATGGGGCCCCTGTGTCCTTTCCCAAACTCAAAAAAAGCCTATGAAAAAGGTACCAGGTGCATCTCAATGGGGTCCCCTACTGACCCCGGGCCCTCGGGCAATGCCCGAGTTTCCAAATGGTCAGTCCGCCCCTGGACCCTACCATCTGAATGTCGTAGAAACCAGTCTGCCCATTCTCCTCTGACACCAACAACTGCCACTCACTGGATATTTTTTAGTTTTTAGACCATTCTCTGTAAACCTTAGAAATGGTTGTGTGTGAAAATCCCATTAGATCAGCATTTTTTTGAAATACTCAGACCAGCCCATCTGGCACCAACAACCATGCCACGTACAAAGTCACTTAAATCCCCTTTCTGATGCTCTGTTAGAACTTCAGCAAGTTGTCTTATTTTTATTTTTTACAGGTACTTATATAGCGCTGTCAATTTATGCAGCACTTTACATGTATATTATACACTCCCATCAGTCCCTAACCCTCAAGGGATGCAATCTAAAGTCCCTAACTTACATCCATATACTAGGGCAAATTTAGATAGGATCCAATTAACCTACCAGCATGCCTTTGGAGTGTGGGAGGAAACGCATGCAGGCACAGAGAAAATATGCAAACTCCAGGCAGGCGGTACTGTGGATGGGATTCAAACCAACGACCCTAGTACTGCCAGTGGAAGTGCTAACCATTTAGCCACTGTGCTGTCTGTGTCTGCTCTACGACTAAATGCCTAAATTGAGTTGCTGCCATATGATTGGCTCATTAACAATTTGGTTACTAAGCAATTGAACAAGTGTACCAGTGTACAGAGTGAGTGTATAAGCTGTTCTCTGCATGGACACCATCTGGGCTCCACCATGAAGACCTTACCTTTGAAAAGCGGAGCGATGTTCCACGCTGCAATTCCTCCTTGCTTCATGAACTGACCCAAAGCAATTTCTAAGAAGAACACTGGGATTCCACCCACAAACACGATCAGCAAGTAGGGAATGAGAAACACACCTATGGAAAAACAAAATGGGTGCTCAAGAACATTGGCATACCATGGTGTATCTGAACTGGAACAATCAACACTTCTGTAGATTCTGTAGCATCCTACACATGAGCTCTGGACTGACTACATGAATGAGGATGATCCTAACACCAAGAACATTGGCATATTATAGTGTATATGGACTGGAGCAATCAACGCTTCTGTAGCATCCTACACATGAGCTCTGGACTGACTACATGAATGAGGATGGTCCTAACACCAAGAACATTGGCATACCATGGTGTATCTGGACTGGAGCAATCAACGCTTCTGTAGCTTCCTACACATGAGCTCTGGACTGACTACATGAATGAGGATGGTCCTAACACCAAGAACATTGGCATACCATGGTGTATCTGGACTGGAGCAATCAAAGCTTCTGTAGCTTCCTACACATGAGCTCTGGACTGACTACATGAATGAGGATGGTCCTAACACCAAGAACATTGGCATACCATGGTGTATCTGGACTGGAGCAATCAACGCTTCTGTAGCTTCCTACACATGAGCTCTGGACTGACTACATGAATGAGGATGGTCCTAACACCAAAAACATTGGCACACCATGGTGTATCTGGACTGGAGCAATCAACGCTTCTGTAGCTTCCTACACATGAGCTCTAGACTGACTACATGAATGAGGATGGTCCTAACACCAAAAAACATTGGCATACCATGGTGTATCTGGACTGGAGCAATCAACGCTTCTGTAGCTTCCTACACATGAGCTCTAGACTGACTACATGAATGAGGATGGTCCTAACACCAAGAACATTGGCATACCATGGTGTATCTGGACTGGAGCAATCAACGCTTCTGTAGCTTCCTACACATGAGCTCTGGACTGACTACATGAATGAGGATGGTCCTAACACCAAAAACATTGGCATACCATGGTGTATCTGGACTGGAGCAATCAAAGCTTCTGTAGCTTCCTACACATGAGCTCTGGACTGACTACATGAATAAGGATGGTCCTAACACCATGAATGACCTGACAATAGGTACTTGTAGTTAAACTGAGGAAAGTCAGAGTCAGTAACACTGGTTTCCACCTGTTGGTCACTCACTATACTGGGTGATTCTATTTAATGTATTTATTACAGGCATTTATATATAGCAGCATGTAAAAATGTATGGAAGGCTTTCACATCAGCCCCTCTCACATATATACATACTAGGGCCAATGTAGACAGGAGCCAATTAACACAGCCCCATGTTTTTAATTGGGCTTTCTGCCCGCACTTACAGTATTTGCAGAGAACCCCCCCCCCCCATCTAATCACTAATAACCCCCATTCTGAAGTGTGAATGAGGCCTTAACCATTAATATTTAAATTGGTTGTACAGGCTGAAGGAATTCAGGGTGCATCTCCCCTACCCCCCCCCCCCCTTACAGCCACCCCTAATACCTGAGCCCGGTCTTAATCCAGTGATGTACACAAGAGCCTCAGCTATCCTGGCTCTCTCCCTTCTTACTGGCTCAATCACTGGCTCGGTCAATCACAGTCAGTGAAGAGGGAGCGGGGGGCAGGGCTGAGCTGTGCTCTGTGTGTCTTATGGACACAGAGAGCAGGGCTCGGGAGCAAGCACACACAAGTGCCCCCAGAGCAAGTGGCTTGTGGGGGCATTCATCAGGGGGAAGGAGTTAGGAGTGCCAGTGGGGGACCCAAATAAATTTAGAAGTTTATATTTACTAAAACAATTGCATTTCCTTGTTGTGTGTACTGTGAGAGACCAGATATAGTGAATGTAGGGTCCGGGGAGAGCAGATATAGTGAATGCAGGGTCCGGGGAGAGCGGATATAGTGAATGCAGGGTCCGGGGAGAGCGGATATAGTGAATGCAGGGTCCGGGGAGAGCGGATATAGTGAATGCAGGGTCCGGGGAGAGCGGATATAGTGAATGCAGGGTCCGGGGAGAGCGGATATAGTGAATGCAGGGTCCGGGGAGAGCGGATATAGTGAATGCAGGGTCCGGGGAGACCGGATATAGTGAATGCAGGGTCCGGGGAGAGCAGATATAGTGAATGCAGGGTCGGGGGAGACCGGATATAGTGACAGCAGGGTCCGGGGAGACCGGATATAGTGACAGCAGGGTCCGGGGAGACCGGATATAGTGAATGCAGGGTCCGGGGAGACTGGATATAGTGAATGCAGGGTCCGGGGAGAGCGGATATAGCGAATGCAGGGTCCGGGGAGACCGGATATAGTGAATGCAGGGTCCGGGGAGACCGGATATAGTGAATGCAGGGTCCGGGGAGAGCAGATATAGTGAATGCAGGGTCCGGGGAGAGCAGATATAGTGAATGCAGGGTCGGGGGAGACTGGATATAGTGAATGCAGGGTCCGGGGAGACCGGATATAGTGAATGCAGGGTCCGGGGAGAGCGGATATAGTGAATGCAGGGTCCGGGGAGACCGGATATAGTGAATGCAGGGTCCAGGGAAGAGCGGATACAGTGAATGCGGGGTCCAGGGAGAGTGGATATAGTGAATGCAGGGTCCAGGGAGAGTGGATATAGTGAATGCCGGGTCCAGGGAGACCAGATATAGTGAACGCAGGGTCCGGGGAGACCAGATATAGTGAACGCAGGGTCTTGGGTTTAGTAACACTTTAACATAGGCCCTTTTTTTTAAATTAAATTGTATTAATATTTTGTTTATAGAAAGCATAGAAAGTAAAAAAATTTTTTTTTGCCAAATAATATCACCATAAGAAGGTCTTGCTTGTCCATGGGAAAAAAATATATACTGCATGTATTACTTTGTATTCTTAAAGTGTATGTAAACCCCCCAAAAATGTAAATAATGAGTATTGAAATATATATATATATATATAAAAAAATAAATACGTATATAAAATATATATATATATATATAGTAAATCTTGAGAGAAGAAGATATCGGAAGAAAAAGAAGAGCTGTAGAGTGTGAATCCTTTTTGTGTCCATGTAGCAGGATAGAATTTCCCAGGAATCTCCCGCACACATCCTTCTTGTACAACGCAGTCTATTCAGTGGTTCTCCTCTATGTAAATCAGTGGCATTCATCACTGTTGGGTCATAGCGGCAGTTGTATGGAAATGCTATGGAGAGGGAGTCTCCAGTCTTCTGCTTCATAAGCTGAGATGTGAGATACAGGAGCATGCTGTGTCACATGTATAATTCATCAACCTTCAAAATCTTCCTCTATCCTTTCCTTATCCCGTACCTCCGGGCGATATTTTCTTTAACCAATGACACTTTTTTCCCTCCTCCCTCCCCTCGCTGCAGCAGATTTCCATTTTTAGAGTGTGTGATTCTCCGAGACGTTGGATGGTGGGGGGGGGGAGGTTCTCATTACTGTTTGCTGCTTTTATATAGGTCAGTCCAGCTTATTAAAGAGAAACGAGTTAGGCCGACCATACATGGGTCGAAATTCGAACGACTTTTCATCCGAAAATCGGACCTAAGAATTAACAGATTTTCGCTCTGTTAATGGGTCAATGGCACCGGCCGATTTTTGTTGTTCCTCCCCTTTTCGGTGATTGGGTATGTTGGAAAATTCATGAAAAATTACTGATTTTCAAATTCATTGGTGGCACCATCGGATTACAGAACGTACAATGTTTTCGATTTATGCTCGAAGAACTGTTTGGGATTCGACCCATGTATGGCCTGCTTTCACTTTTTTTTCTGGAAAAGGGAACTAACCCTTTAAGATAGTGACATTAAATTTCTGTAGGTTTCAATTTAAGGGCTGGATGGGTTCTTGCTACTACCCAATATGTCCCATCTCTGAGCTTTTGGATTGAAGACCATTCAACTGCCAATAGTGGCAAATCCAAAGACAAATAATGGCATCGCACTCTACCAATGGACCACGCATGCAAACATTATTGGGGTGTGTAGCTGTGGGAATGGAAACTCTTTGCTTTTATATAGGTCAGTCCAGCTTATTAACCACTTGCCAACCAGGCACTTATACCCCCTTATTTACCAGGCCAATTTTCAGCTTTCAGCGCTGCCGCACTTTGATTGACAATTGCGCGGTCATGCAACATTGTACCCATATGAAATTTTGATCATTTTTTTCTCACAAATAGAGCTTTCTTTTGGTGGTATTTAATTGCCACTGGGCGCTTTACTTTTTGCGCTATAAATAAAAAAAAGTGCAAAAAATTTGAAAAAAAAAAAAGTTTCTTTGTGTTTCTTTTATAAAATTTTTCAAACAGGTATTTTTTCACCTTCACTGATGTGCGTTGATGAGGCAGCACTGATGGGCACTGATAGGCGGCACTGATGGGCACTGATAGGCAGCACTAAAGGGCACTGATAGGCAGTACTAATGAGGTGGCACGGATAGGCGGCACTGATAGACAGCACTAATGAGGTGTCACGGATAGGCGGCACTAATATGCAGCACTGATAGGCGGCACTGATAGGTGACACTGATGATGGGTACTGATAGACGGCACTGACTGGCATCACTGCTGGGCACTGACTGGCGGCACTGACTGGCACAACCCCTGGGCACTGACTGGTGGCACTGACTGGCAGCACTGCTGGGCTGCACTGGTGGGTGGCACTGGTGGGCAGCACTGGTGGGTGGGCACAGGTGGGTGGCACTGGTGGGCACAGGTGGGTGGGCACAGGTGGGTGGCACTGCTGGGCACAGGTAGGTGGCACTTCTGGGCACAGGTAGGTGGCACTGCAGAGTGGCACAGGTGGGTGCACTGCTGGGCACAGGTGGGTGCACTGCTGGGCACGGGTGGGCGGAGCTAGTGGGCGCACTGCTGGGCACAGGTGGGCGGAACTTGCGGGTGGCACTGCTGGGCACCGATCATCAGGGCACTGATCATCAGTGCCCTGATGATCAGTGCCGATCCCCGCTCTGACAACTGCCGGTCCTCGGCAGTACTTTCCTCACGATCTGACAGCGTGAGGAAAGTGCAGCCGAGAACTGGCACTTGCATTTCCCTCTGATCAGCGTGTCATTGGACACCGCTGATCACGTGGTAAAAGGCCGCTGTGATTGGCCTTTTACCACATCACGTGATCAGCTGTGTCCGTAGGACACAGCGATCACGGAGATCGCCTTGTGCGCACCCCCTGGGGCACGCAGGAGAGCGCGTTCTGGGAGGACGTCATATGACGTCCACCCAGAACTGGCCGGCCACAGTGCAGCTGTCATTCGGCTATCTGCGGTCGGCAGCTAGTTAAAGAGAAACGTTATAAGGAGTTAGGCCGGCCATACATGGGTCGAAATTCGACTGATTTTTCGCTCTGTTAGTGGGTCAGTGGCACCAGCCGATTTTCATGCTTCCTCCCCTTTTTGGTGATCGGGTATGTTGGAACATTTGTGAAAAACTACCGATTTTCGACTCAATGCTGGTCGAATCCTACACTCGTTTTTTTCCAAAAAGAATATGCGCACAAGCTGTGACCTGGAAGGAACAGAAATTTTTCCTGCTATATGAGGTGAACTTTATGACTTGGTGGGCCGATTTTCGAAATCATTGATGGCATCGGAATATCGAGCAAATGACGTTTTTGATTTTCGGGCGAAAATTCGTTGTAACTTCGAACCATGTATGGCCTGCATAAGTTATCCTCAAAAATTAGTGGAGGTCAAAGGGACAAGAAAGGGACCAGAACAGAAGCATGCACAGACTGATCTCCCACCTCGTCTCGCCCTGGATCCTTACTAGTTTTGGGCCCCTATGAATTTTGTACCAAGGGCAACTGCCTCTGTGACCCCACCCATGCTACAGACACTGTCTGACCCGCCCCAAAACTTATGGGGGGGTATAAGAGTATATTTGACAGATCAAAATGGAGCAAACAAGAGAAGTTAATTTTTCTGGTTTACGTAAACCAAGGTTAATTGAGAAGGTATATAGTGTATGCAGTGGCGTCCCAAGGCAGGTGCGGGGGGTGCATCCCGCACCGGGTGACACCGACCGCACAGGGTGACACCGGACCCACTCCACGAAAAGGTAAGTTGTAAAGCAAGCCGACGATCCCCGCAGGATGGATCCGAACCATCCTACAGGGATCGTCAGCTTTCTTTACATCTTACCTTTTCTTGGAGCGGGTCCGGTGTCACCCCGTAAAGGTTGCATGCCGACGATCCCGCAGAATGGATCGGATCTTCAGATTGGGGAGCATAATGGATCGGACTCTGATCCATTATGCTAAATCCGCAGATCCCATCCATCCTGTGGGGATCGTCGGCATGCAACCTATACGGGGTGACACCGGACCCTCTCCACAAAAAGGTTAAAATGTAAAGAAAGCCGACGATCCCCGCGGGATGGATCCGATCTGCGGATTGAGCATAATGGATCCGAGTCCGATCCATTATGCTCAATCCGCAGATCCGATCCATTCTACGGGGATCGTCGGAGGGGGTGTCACCAACTGTTACCACACCGGGTGACACCAACCCTAGGGATGCCTCTGAGTGTACAATCACTATTAGAAAAATCCAACCAATGACTCAACTTCTATGAAGGCCCAATAAGGCGATCCACGATAGAAGTAGTTATTTCAGGACACCATTCTGCTGTCCTGGTAATGGAACATCCGGAACATCCAGGAATAGATTTAGAAATAGCTTTCAATCTTAAAAGCTTCTTCTCACGTGCTGCGAACTCTCTGCAGAATGCAAAATCCCATTTCCAGGGCTGTTTCTATTCCAGGACCTTGCAAAGTATCACATGGAATGTGACTGAAGATCATTATACTGTGATTAATTCTCCTTCGTCTTTGTGGGAGGAAGACACTCACCGCTGAGTGAACAGTAGGGCTGTGTTGAATCATGTGCCGGCTTTTGTCACTCGGTGACACCAGTGGTCAGAATTACATGAATAATGTGTGCCTGGCCCCTCTCAAAAGGCCGTAGAAAAAAATTTCCATTCCTACAGCTACGCACCCCAATAATGTTTGCATGGGTGGTCCATTGGTAGAGTGCGATGCCATTATTTGTCTTTGGATTTGCCACTATCAGGGGCGGACTGGCCATTTGGAAACTCGGGCACTGCCCGAGGGCCTGGGGTCAGTAGGGGGCCCCATGAGATGCCCCTGGTACCTTTTTCATAGGCTTTTTTGAGTCTGGGCAAGGACGCAGGGGCCCCATGACCCCTATTGCCCGGGGGCCCCATGAGTTGTCAGTCCACCCCTGGCCACTATTGGCAGTTGAATGGTCTTCAATTCAAAAGCACAGAGATGGGACATATTGGGTAGTAGCAAGAACCCATCCAGCCCTTAACCTCTTGGCGCCGGCCGAACGCACATGTGCGGCCTCCTGGCGTCTGGGCCTAGGCGCCGAGCGGCCGCACATTTGCGTTCTATTAAAAAAAAAAAAATATGTGCTGAGAGCGTGCGCCCTGCCCGCTCCCAGCACACACATTCGGTACTCACAGAAAGGTCCCGATCTCCTCTTTCGATCGGGACCTTTCCCGATCATGTGACCACCGTGACAGCAAATCATGGCGGTCACATGACCCTAAAGCCCCGCCCCCACCTCCTTAAAGGGCCGGGAGGCGCTGGCGCCAAGGGTTTAAATTGAAACCTACAGGAATTTAATGTCACTATCTTAAAGGGTTAGTTCCCTTTTTCAGAAAAAAAAGTGAAAAGGTGAACTAAAGCAGGCCATGCATGGGTCGAATTCCAAACAATTTTTAGAGCGAAAATCAAAAACATCGTTCGTCGTTCTGTAATCCGATGGTGCCACCAATGATTTTGAAAATCATTTTTCATGAATTTTCCAGCATGTCTGATAAACGAAATGGGGAGGAACCACGGAAATTGGCTGGTGCCATTGCCCCACTAACAGAACAAAATTCTTAGGTCCGAATTTCGAACGAAAATCGTTCGGAATTCGACTCATTTATGGCCTGCTTTAGACCCTACCCACTGCCCTGGTCTCCGCTGTTCATACTTTCGCAGGGGTGTATTTACCACAAGGCAAACAAGGCATTTGCCTAGAGCGGCATTTTTCAAGGGGGCAGCACCACTCCCTGGAAGAAGGGACAGAAGAAGCAATACACACAGCATGGGGACCAGGTGGGAGGCTGCGGGCTGCTTGACAGTATATGCAGAGCCTGACTCTCATTCTAGGGGATGTCTGGAGCGGTGAAGGTGAGTGTCTTTCTCTCTCTTGCTGGGAGGAGGTTGGGAGGTGGGGTGGCCGGTGTATGGAGGGTGGTGGTAGTGAAAGGCTCTCTCAGGTGGGGGGTGGTGTTGGTTGGTGTCAGGTTCTCTCCGCGGGGGGGCGGACGATTTTTTTGTTGCCTAGGGCAGCACAAAACCTAAAAACACCACTGCCTTCGTGGGTGTTGAGCTGTCAGTTCCCACCCAGGCAGCGTAGTGGTTCAGGTAGTTGAAATTCCTGATTTTCTTCCCCTTTTTTTTGAAGGGCTTCCAGAATAGATCAGGGCGATTCTGATTGGTCTTTCAACACGTGACTACTTTAATGAAAATCGCTCTGATCTGTCCTGAGAGCACTACAGAGAGAAAAGGGAAGAAGAATGGGGATTTCAGATTTCTGCACCCCTACACCTGCTGCGTGGGGACTGACAGCTCATCATCCACAGATGTAAGTACAGCAGGGACTGGGAGGTTGGGGAGGGTGATAGCTTACTTTTTTTTTTTTCTAAAAGGTGAACTTTTACTTTAAAGAGAAACTACATTAGACATAGCGTCCTTTTTTTCAACTTTATACATTTGTAAATTACCATTGTATACAAGGTCCAGGACTATTTCTGGGTTTTCTAAAGAGCAGGGGCAGACTGACCATTCGAGCACTCGGGCACTGCCTGAGGGCCCGGGGTCAGTAGGGGGCCCCATGAAATGCCCCAGGTACCTTTTTATAGGCTTTTTTGAGTGTGGGCAAGGACACAGGGGCCCCATGATCCCCTATTGCCCAGGGGCCCCATGAGTTGTCAGTCTGCCCCTGCTAAAGAGAGATCAAATCAGAAGCTGTTTGCCTTCAGACTCTCTGACACTGATTAAGACTTCAAAGATAGATGTCTGAACAGAGCAGGGATGGTGGTCAAGGGAAAGGTCACTGCTTTGACTCATTCAGTTGTGTGTAAATACTGTATAACCTTAGGAATTAGGCTGTGTAAAAAGAAAGAAAGGAAGAAAAACACTATACATTATACATTATACTATATACTTTGGGTGGGGGGCCCATGGAACACAGCTCACTACTTTGGAGAGGTGGGGAAACCCCTGTCTCAGCTCCGCATATCCCTCCTATGTGTAAGTCACCCTGTACCTGTTAGGGGTACAGGGTGATCTGTCCTAATATTGGGGAGGGGGGCTGTTGATTGTTTAATGCCATGTGGTTGCATCCCATTGTTCTATTGTGTGTCTTGCTTGGGAGCAGGGGTGGACTGACCATTCAAGCTCTCGAGCACTGCCTGAGGGCCCAGGGTCAGTAGAGATGCCCCTGGTACCTTTCATTGGCTTTTTCATAGGCTTTTTTTGGGTGTGGGCGAGGACACAGGGGCCCCATGATCCCCTATTGCCCAGGGACCCCATGAGTTGTCAGTCCTCCCCTGCTTGGGAGCAAACTATTATGGGATGTATGTGTTTATGTGTATTGGCTTGGTAGGGGGTGTCTCCAGAAGCCCTCCCTCCTGATGGGACTGTCTGCTGGTGTGTCTCTTGTTACTAAATGTAGATTGCCCCGCCCTGTGTCATTATGCAGGGAGGGGGGGTTGTTCCCTTGAATGTATATATCTTGTATCTGTGTTAAAAGAAAACTAGTCTACTTCCTGGTTTACTTCAAGACTGGTGTTGTCTAGTCTTGTATGGTCTGCTGTGGTGTCTGTTGTCGGTGTTCGTAAGGGGAAGCGGTATTCTAACGGAAGTACCCAAGCGCAGTCTGGGGTCGGTTCCATTACAATTTCCTTTAAGACACCCCTCTTACCTCCTCCATTCTTGTAGCAAAGATAAGGAAACCGCCACACATTTCCCAGACCGACTGCAAATCCTACACAGGACATGATGAAGTCCATCTGTCGAGTCCAGGTCTCTCGCTCTGGAATGGGTATTTTAACCGGGCCCATGGTGGGCAGCACCAGAGGAGCGATGACGGCCTTTTCATCCGAAACTGCTTCCCCCCCTCCTGCTGTCTCAGATCCCTCCATTTCTGGGGCCCTCGAGCACGCCCCATCTTTCTCTGTAGGAAGAGAAAAAAAAAAAAAAAAAAAAGACTTCAGCTTCATAAAACTCAGTTTTGTAACCGATCAACATGCAAAACAGCTCTGAACCATCAAAGAAAAATTGGCCTCTGATATAAAGGTGTGTAAAGGAAGCGCTATCAGTTGACCAAAGCCATGACTGTACTTTTACTTTTTATATCATCATTGCAGGGATGGAAATGATACATTTGACTGCAATAGAGAACACTAATGTTGCCCATAAAAAAAAATGGCAAATTTCTGGGATTATCAGCCTCTTTCAACAAGACTTTGTTTTGCCACCAACAGTCTCAATGGTTTCGTGGTTTTGAGCGACCGTTATTAGGTTTGTTGGTCATTTTTTTCTAATATAAACTTGTTGAAAGTTGTTGATTTTTAAAATTGCCATGGGTGTGGCCAGTCTTAGAGTTCTCTTCTATCATGCATGCTTACACAAGAGTACATGTATTATGCTCACACTTTTCTGCTCAGAGCAGTTTGGACAATCATCTATTATCCTTTTCTGCAAGTATATGGACAGCCAAGTATCTCACACACAACCAGGGGTGGACTGACAACTCATGGGGCCCCCGGGCAATAGGGGATCATGGGGCCCCTGTGTCCTTGCCCAAACTCAAAAAAGCCTATGAAAAAGGTAGCAGGGGCATCTCATGGGGCCCCCTACTGACCCCGGGCCCTCGGGCAGTGCCCGGGTTTCCAAATGCTCAGTCCGCCCCTGCACACAACCTAAATAATTGACAGGATGCCTTCTTTGCTCTTGTGCTCCATCCTGGAAAATGACTACCCCTAAAGATATCATTTACAGTATATGTTACATGTACTAATATAGCGCCATCAATTTATGCAGTGCTTTACATCTATGTTGTACATTCACATCAGTTCCTGCCCTCAAAGAGCTTACAATCTAAGATACCTAATTCACATTCACACGTATATGTAGCGCCCCTCTAGTTAGTCAGGGGGAGCTAGGTAGGTTTTTAGTAGAGGCTGGATAGCAGACTGGGCATGAGCCAGCCTGGGTGTGAGTCAGCCAACTCACTTTACGTCAGGGCTGAGGGCTCTGCAGGTCAGTTCCCTGATACCTCCCCCTGCTCTAGAAGCATGAGAAGTCTCTAGAAGGCAGTGGATGGGGGTGGGGAGGGGCTGATCTGCACACTTAAGGGACTCTGGCCAATCCCCAAGCAGGAGGCTTGGCATGGGGCCAGGGCAGCCCTTAAGTGTGACTGAGCCTGCTCAGCAGCAGGAGAGTATCAGGTGGAAGATGAAGTAAAGGCTGAATGTGGAGCTAGGGAGTAGGGTTAACCTACAGCAGAGTTGCTGGACAGGAGGATCTCTCAGCTTCACTGACCCCTGAGAGAGGACAGCCTGGGTAGCATTGAAGGAGCCAGCCCAGCGTAAGGCCTGAAGGTAACCACCAACCCACAAGCTTGCAGGGGAGGACTGAGTGAGTAATCCTGCACCCCCTAGACCAGATAAGGGGAGAGGGCAGTCAGGTGGGAAACCTATAGGGGGAACCCAAAACGTAGAAACTCCTAAGGGAGTAGTGCTACATACACATACAAGGGCCAATTTAGACAGGAGCCAATTAACCTACCAGTCTGTCTTTGGAGTGTGGGAGGAAATCCACACAGGCACAGGGAGAACATGCCACCTCCAGGCAGGTAGTGCTGTGGTTGGGATCTAAACCAACTACCCTTGTGCTGCTTGTTGGATGTACTAACAACTTAGCCACTGTGGTACACTTTAGGGGAATTTTAGCTGCACGCGTATTCTCTATGTTTGGCACAGACTAATCAATCCCAGATATTTAAGCGTTGTCCATGGGTCAGGTGTCTGGTGGTAGCTGGTCCTAAGTTCCTAGTGCTAATGCTGTGTTGCTTGCTAGGTTAGGACATTTCTGGATAAAGTTAAAAAGGATGGGGCATGGCTTATTTTATTCTGGAAATTCTTATTGCAAAGATAAGTGATCGGCGGCAAGGTACCACATTCTGCTGCCCAAACCTGATTAAAATATGCTTTCTTATTGGCTTCCCATATTGTGCCAATAATTAAAACAGTAGATTACAGACATGGGGCCATAAAGTGTCATGAGGGGCCCATCTCTGTTACAACTAGAATGAGGACATCTGAGGAAACCATTTCCACCATATTACATTTACTCATTCAGTGGTGAAAACCCCAAAAATAACAGGGTTTGCTGTCAAGAGTCTAATAGACAGTTTAATAACCTACCAACAAAATGGCTACTATCTATCTATCTATCTATCTATCTATATCTATCTATCTATCATTATCTATCTATCTATCTATCTATCTATCTATCTATCTATCCATCCATTATCTATCTATCTATCTATCTATCTATCTATCTATCTTTCTATCTATCTATTATCTATCTATCTATCTATCATCCATTATCTATCTATCTATCTATCTATCTATCCATCCATTATCTATCTATCTATCTATCTATCTATCTATCCATTATCTATCTATCTATCTATCTATCTATCTATCTATCTATCTATCCATCCATTATCTATCTATCTATCTATCTATCTATCTATCTATCTATCTATCCATCCATTATCTATCTATCTATCTATCTATCTATCTATCTATCTATCTATCTAAGTATATATGGATACATAACTACTAACATAGTCAGTATTTTAGTAGGTATCTCCCAAAAAGGAACATTACTGTGACATAGCCATTTAACAATGGGCAACGGTCAACTATGGCCAACTATGTGTGAAGCAACATAATCTCAGAAACAACCAAAATGCATGCCAGAGCCCGGTGGCAAGTGAGACCTCTGTACAGAGCAAAACACCAATGCCTGACTAAACAGAAAGTCATACACCCATCTTCAGAACCAACCAAGTGTGTGTGAAGAAACAATCTCAGGAGAAACCAGCAAAATGAATCCAAAGACACTTTTCAACTAGGGCATGGCTCCTTTCTGAGTCACATTACAAATACATATGGTAGCTTGTAATGGTAATTAAATTCCCATGTAGAGCACAGAAATTACTTAATGTGATTATGTACCTGATTGACTAGTAATTATCTCACAATTAGCTCTCGTGACTGTGACCTCATAGATTACAATTGTGGCATAAACACAACCTAATTATGATACTTATTAACAAGAAATAAATAGAATTATGAAATACTAATATACAGAATTGGTAGCTGCTACTATACAAAGTGTTTTCTCAATAAAACCCCCAATTTTGGGACATTTTTCTATGTTTTGTATAATTTTGTATAATTCCTATTCACTTAAAAATAGAATTGGGGTCAGTGGGAAGTTATCCAAGAGGCAGAAATTGCTAATTGCTCAAGGAACCCCTAGCAACCTCTGGAGGAACCTTGGTTGAGAAACCCTGATCTAGGATAAGACCTTCTCTTAGATAACACAAACATTCCTTGATCTATTCTTTAGGATATGACAAGTCTTCCTTGATCCATTCCAACTCTCATTCAAAAGGAAGAAGGTTACCACCACCACTGAGCCCATTGGTTGAATTTCCAGACACTGCTCTTGCTGCAATGGAGGACACACAGATTTCTTGACATCCATACTTCTTGGTGAGACATCTACCCATCTGTGGCCACACCTTCAGCACATTCCATATTACCATTAATTTTCAGACTGCTTTATCACGCAAGGCTGACAATCACCAGCATGGTACAGAAGTTGCTAAGTTCACTGGGAGGTCATTGCAGTATAGATCTGAGAGTGGTTAGGCCTTGGAGTGGCTGAAGAATAGAAGCTGATCAATATCACTCTTGTCATCCTCAAGGTCATCTTCTCCATCTAATTTCCTCTCCTCCTGAGACATTCTCCATATCCTGAACAATGGCTCCGGCTAATTGAATTACTCCATTTCATATATTTAGATGTAAATGCTCAGTCCACTCTGAAGAGATATTACAACCTTGTCCCTACTTTCAGAAAAATACCAGGCTGATCGGGAGGGGGGATGGGTGCCAAATTCTATAGAAACAGTACCAAGAGGTAAGTGAAACTGGTGGATGACCTAGATAGATAGATAGATGTCAGATATTAGGTAATTAGAAGGTAATAACTAGTAATGTACAATCAGCTTCCCAGCAGCACATCCTATCTTGGGCTCCATCCTCTTCAATTTTCGGGTAAGTGCTCTTCCTGATGGATGCCATCCTGCAGCTTAATGGCATTGCTCCTCAGTGGAAGAATGGAGGAAAAGAACTCACCGATGACCCCCAGTACCCATACCAGTCCCATGGTCAGGCTGTTCATGCCAGTCTAAGGAAATTAAGAATCATCAGTGTATAGGTTCCTGGTGTTGACTCAAGGGCCCCCAATGAGCTTAAAATTTAAAGTCCATAGAAATGTAGAAGAGTGAGGGCAAAAAAAAAAGACCAAGTGGTCCATCAACATCTTTGTCTCTTTTTTTTTGTCTCCACCACACAGTCACAGATACACCTACTAGGGCCAATTTCAATAGGAACCAATTCACTACAGCTCTTTGGAGTGTGTGAGGAAACCCATGTAAGCACAAAGAGAATATGCAAACTCCATGCAGGTATTGTCCAGGTTGGGATTCAAACTGAGGACCCCTTGCCTGCAAGCCAGAAGTGCTAACCACCAAGCTATTGTGCTGCATTGTAGATAAACTATCCAGAAAAGTGTAGAGTGGGAGTTATTTTGGATTGATTGATTTTGATGATGACAAAAATGATTATGTCAAGAAAATTATTGCTAAAAATGCACTAGATAAAACAAATCAATTTTTTATTTTTAGAGAATTTTTTGGGGGGGGAGGTGGAGTATTTAGGGTTTAGTTTATCTTTATTTTCTTTTAACTTTTTTTTTGTTTGTTTTTCACTAATTTTTTTCTGTGAAATAAACATAAAATAATGAGGAAAATAAGGGTCCATTCTATCAGCACAAGAACAGGACCCTGATAGTTGATGGAGCTTCTGAACA